CACTCAGATTTTTTAATTATCTCTCAGGCCTCGGTGGTATCTTAACTCATCTTTTTTAAGTAATTGAAACATCAAACAGAGAAAAGAAATAATAAAGTTTAAGTAAAAGAACAGCTAGAGCAGAAACACTGACAATAGGCAAAAACTTAGAAACCAGAAGGCCAGAGAGATAGTACAGGGCTTAAGTACTTGCTTTGCATTCATCCAACCCTGGTTCAATCCCTGGCATAACATAAACCTCCAAGCACCACCAGGACTTACCCCAGAGCACAGAGCCAGAAAAAGTCCTTGAGCACTTCTAGGTGTGCCCAACCCTCCCCACCCCACAACCATTACCAAAACAGAGAAACTTAGAAACCACTGACGTATAAGGAATTTAACTTTGGGGCCAGGGCCCTAGCTTAGCAGTGGGGCATTTGCCTTCGATGTGTGAGACCTGAGGTTCCCTCCCCAGCACCATAGAAAAAAATTTTTTTTACTGGACAGCTACCTGCGAAAAATTGAACTCTGACCTCTGTCTGACGCCAGGTACAAAAGTCAGATCAAAGTGGATTAAAGAACTCAATATCAGAACTGAATCCATAAGGTACATGGAGGAAAATGTAGACAGAACCCTCCATAACACTGAAGATAAAAGGATTTTTAAGGATGAAACACCACTGACCAAGCAAGTGGAAACAAACATAGACAAATGGGACTACATTAAACTAAGAAGCTTCTGCACCTCAAAAGAAACAGTGACCAAAATACAGAGAAAGCCCACGGAATAGAAAGAATATTTACCCAATACCCATCTGATAAGGGTTAATACTCAGGATATACAAGACACTAGTAGAATTGTACAAGAAAAAAACCTCCAACCCCATCAAAAAAATGGGGAGGGGGCTGGAGCGATAGAACAGCGGGTAGGGCGTTTGCCTTGCACGAAGCCAACATGGCCGACACAGGTTCGATTCCCAGCATCCCATATGGTCCCCCGAGCACCGCCAGGAGTAACTCTTGAGTGCATGAGCCAGGAGTAACCCCTGAGCATCACTGGGTGTGACCCAAAAAAGCAAAAAAAAAATGGGGAGAAGAAATGAACAGAAGTTTCCTCAAAAAAGAAATACAAATGGCCAAAAGGCACATGAAAAAATGCTCTACATCCCTAATCATTATGGAGATGCAAAACAAAACAACAATGAGATATCATCTCACACCACAGAGACTGGCACACATCAAAAAGAACAAGAGGGGCTGGAGCGATAGTACAGCAGGGAGGGCATTTGCCTTGCATGTGGCTGACCTGGGTTCGATTATCAGCATCCCATATGGTTCCCCAACCACTGCCAGGAGTAATGCCTGAGTGCATGAGCCAGGAGTAACCCTGAGCATCAGTGCAAAAAAGCACAGTAGAAATGACATCTGCACCTGTATGTTCATTGCAGCACTGTTCACAATAGCCAGAATATAGAAACAACCTGAGTACCCGAGAACAGATGACTGGCTAAAGAAACTTTGATACATCAACACAATGGAATACTATGCAGCTGTTAGGAAAGATGAAGTCATGAAATTTGCTTATAAGTCGATAGTCATGGAGAGTATCATGATAAGTGAAATAAATCAGAAAGAGAGGGACAGACATAGAATGACTTCAGTTATTTGTAGAATATAAAAGAACATAATATGCGACTGACACCCAAGGACAGTAGTGACAAGGGCCAGGAATATTGCTCCACAGTTGGAAGCCTGCTTCATGAGCTGGGGGAGAAGGCAACTGGGATAGAGAAGGGATCATTAAATCAATGATGGTTGGAGGGATCGCTTGGGATGGGAGGTGTGTGCTAAAAGTAGATAAAGGACCAAACATGATAGCCTCTCAGTATCTATATTGCACACCATAATGCCCAAAAGTAGAGAGTGTGGGGAAATTATCTGCCGTAGAGGCAGGGAAAGGGTTGGGATGTGTGTGTGGGGGGGGGGGGGGGGGCGGTGGCTACTCGGGACATTGGTAGTAGAAAATTTGCACTGGTGGAGGGACGGGTGTTCAATCATTGTATGACTGAAACTCAAACATGAAAGCTTTGTAACTGTATCTTACAGGGAGTCAATTTAAAAAAAGGAAAAAAAGATTGGACATCTTTATCATGTGCCTGATGATAAAGGACAATCTTTTTTTCTGTTGAATATGATATTAACTATTGGTTTATTTTATATGGGCTCTACTATGTCGAATTATGCTAATGCTCCTACCCCCCATTTTGTTGAGTTTTTCTTTTATCATAAACCTGTTGAATTTCACAAAAGCTATCACAACACTATTAACATATCATAATTTTTATCTTACTTTTTGTATATGTGGCATTTAATATTATCTGATTTGCATGTAATGAACCTTCCTTTCAGTCCTGGAATAAGTACTATTTGGAGATAAAAAATTTTTTTTAAGCTTTGCCCATACAGAGATCTGGCCTGTGCCTTTGATTCTGGTAGATAATCTGAGAATTATTATGAGCTGATAGAGAGTTCCAGATAATTGATAGGAGTGTATAATCCTGAGCACCCCTTATGGTACTCTGAACTCTGTCAAAAGTGATCCCTACGGACAGAGCTAGGAGTAAGCCCTAAGCACTGCTGGGTGTGTTCTCCAAACCATGTGAGCAGTACTTCAAGGATATTGTCACGTACTGATGGCAGGGACTAGAGCTATAGCGTGCATCTGTCTTGCAAGTGGCCGACCCAGGTTTGATTCTTCCATCCCTCTCGGAGAGCTACCGAGAGTATCCCGCCCGCTCGGCAGAGCATGGCAAGCTCCCCATGGTGTATTTGATATGCCAAACACAGTAACAACAAGTCTCACAATGGAGACATTACTGGTGCCCACTCAAGCAAATCGATGAACAATGGGAGGACAGTGCTACAGTGCTGCTGATGGCAGGAAAGTGGCAATGTCCTGAGTCTGCAAACGCAGTCACATGGGCTCCGAATTTGGTGCTTTCTTAGACTCTGCCCCATATAAATCTTCCCTTAATTGATTTAAGTCACTATCCTTATCCTGGCTGGAACCACAATTATAGGACTTTTAATTAAGTTTTCTTTTCCTGGCGGGAGAGCACACCCCAAATTCTCAAGGGTTACTCATGATTCTGTGCTCAAGAATTACTCCCAGCAGTGCTCAGGGGACCATATGGGATACTGGTATCAAATCTGGGTCAGTCTCATAGAAGGCAAGTGCCCTACCCACTGTACTACATCTCCAGCCCCAAATTGTTTCCTTTTTTTTTTTGCTTTTGGGTCACACCCAGCGATGCTCAGGGGTTACTCCTGGCTCATGCACTCAGGAATTACTCCTGGCGGTGCTCGGGGGACCATATGGGATGCTGGGAATCGAACCTGTGTCAGCCATGTTGGCTGCGTGCAAGGCAAACGCCCTACCCGCTGTGCTATCGCTCCAGCCCCAAGTTTCCTTTTTGTTGTTGTTTTGGGGCCACACCCAGCAGTGCTCAGGATAACTCCTATCCCTACACTCAGAAATTACTCCTAGTGGGGTCAGGGAACCATATGGATTGCCGGGGGCTGAACCCAGGTCTGCTGTGTGCAAGGCAAGTGCCTTACCCCTTACTTCAATCCCCAACCAAGTTACGTTTTCTAAGTCCTACTAAATGATCTAACATGAGAATGACCCTGAAACTAGCAATGGCTGGAATGAAGGTAGTCTTTGGGAGTGCATCCTTTCTTCATAGTTGCTAAACTTTCCACTGTTTAATGTTAAAGAAAGAAAATTCAGCCAAAGAAATGTGAAGATTGAATTAGTTTTATTAAGCAATTTGTGACTTGGGAAGCAGCCTATCTGAAACAGAAGGATGTTCTGAGGAACTGGACATGGAAGACTTTGAGAAACTGGGGAAACAAGATTACTTTCAAAGAAAACTTTGCGGTAGGCCTGTCCCTCCTGCTCCCCTTTTCCCTCCCCTTGATCGCCAAGAGTGATCCCTGAGCAGAGAGTCCGGAGTAAGCTCTGAGCACGGTTGAGTTTGTAAAAAAAAAAAAAAAGAGAGAAAGAAAAAGAAAAGAAATGGGACCAGAGCATTATTACAGCAGGTAGGGCCCTTGCCTTGCACGTGGTCCACCGTGTTTGATTCCTGGCACCCCATATAGTCCCATGAGCTCCTCCAGGAGTAAACTCTGAGCACAACTATGTGTGACCCCAAACCAAACCAAAAAAACGAAAAGCAAAGAAAACGGGAGAGTTGCTCACTGCATTGCCTAGGCACGCAGGTGTAAAGGACCAATGTGATCTGTTACTCCAGTGGATATTCTGGCGCTGAGAATCAAGAAGTGTTTATCCTGGCCCAATGGCCATAGTTTTGCAGTATTACTCTATGAAAATCACCTATCTGGGGCTGGAGAGGTAGTGCAGGGGTTTAGGTGCTTGTCTTGCCCGCAGCCGACTCCAGTTTGTTCCCTAGGCATATGGTCCTCGAGCACCGCCAGAAGAAACCTCTGAATACAAAGCCAGGAGTAGCTCTTGAGCACCCCCGGGTGTGGCCTAAAACCAAACAAACAAACAAAAATTATCTACTAGTAGGAGATATCTCAGACCCTCTGCAGAGCCTGAGAAAATTCAGCGAGCAACCGTTACCATGACAACGCAACAGGAGCGTGAGCTGCGAGAGTAACGCCACTCCGCATCCCAGAAGGCACCGCGCGACCTCTGCTTCCGCCCCTCTCCCTCCCAGCATGCAGTGGAACGCAGAGCTACGAGCTTCCGTCTTTAGGGCGGCCATGTAGATGCCTGCACGATGCGTTCGTTTAAAATTTTAAACTGTCCATAGAAATCTCACAGACGGGAGAGAAAATCGAAAGGAAGTTCTGTGTGAACCAGTTTTCTAAAATAATAAGGGAGAAATCTCGAGATAAAGTAATATTTTTTCTGGAACTCATTTAGGCATCTTACTGGGCAGCCCTGAGCAGCGAGCGGCTTGGGGCCCTCGGGGTCCTAAGCAAGCACATGCGAGAGGAAGTGGCGCTGTGGGTCCGCGCGGTCCTCCTGGATCCTTCAACGTGGAGCCATGGGGGGCTTGGAGAAAAAGAAGGCAAGTGCGAGAGACCCTGGGGCGGGAGGGAGGGAGATTCTCGAGAGGTGGGAGACGGGGTGAAAGTACCTGTGGCCCCCGCTTGCGTACGGAAACGCTGGGATCCTGAGACGGGACACAGGTCTGAGGATGGACAGCGTTCTTTGGTGAAAGCCGCGGGGCCGGTGTTTGTAAATGTGTTCAAACAGTTGCGGTTACCCAGCAAATGTTCACCCCCAAAGGCAGGCCGAGCGCAGGGGAACTATTTCCTGAGCGTGAGAGACTTTATTTATTTACTTTTTAAAAAATCACCGTTGCATCTAGATACTTTCTTAAAGGGGGTTCCTGTTGCGCCAAGCCCGGTGCCTCTCCTGGGGGCGGAGAAGTAGTCGGCCAGGGCACCGTGTCTTCTTGCATTCACCTGCTGGTGGGGAGTATGGGCAGCGCCGCAAACAACCAAACAGACACAGTTACGGACTGTTCTGTGTTTGGTGAAGGAAAGCAAGCAAGGAAGAATATAAAGGGATGCCTGTTTTAGTTGGTATTGTCTTGGGAGGTCTCAGAGTTACAGCATTTTAACCGCTGCTTGGAAGGTCTTGGTCTTGGGTCTTGGGTGGGTTCTGGAACTGGAAGATGTGTGCGGTCACGCATGACAGGAAAAAACAAGCCGGGGGAAAGAGTGCCGTGTGCAGGGAGGCGGAAGGACAAGAGAGAGGATGGCTAGGGGACAGTAAGCCAAGGAAAGAATGGCAGCCCGCGTAGTTGGGTTTGGACAGTGTCCATAGTAAGCTAAGTCCGTTAACCATGGTGAGGATTTTATTCCAGGAGGACCACTGAGATTCGTTTTTCTTTTCAAGGGGTTACTGCTGTGTGGAGTCACCGTGGTGGCATGAAAAGATTGGGGAGGGGAGAGGAGTGAGGAAAGTATAGTTGCCTCAGAGGTTTTCTTCAACTCGAAAGTACTGCCCCTCCCGCCCAAATATTTTTTTAAATCCAGCGTACTATGAGCAGCATGTAGCAGTTGGAATAGAAGTTGAGGTGGAAATCTCTGGCTGCATAGATCTAGAGTGGTAAGCAAATTATGGCGATTCTTGAAAGCTATTACAATCGTTTACATGCGTGAGCTCATATGTCAACTGTTTTGACATATCTTATTTTTGTTTTTGTCTTTTGATGCTGGGCTGTAGAGTTAATATGTTTACAATAATATTGGGGGCTGGAGCGATAGCACAGTGGTAGGATGTTTGCCTTGCGCGCAGCCAGCCCGGCCGAGCTGGGTTCGATTCCTCCGCTCCTCTCGAAGAGTCTGGCAGGCTACCGAGAGTATCTCACCCGCACGGCAAAGCCTGGCAAGCTCCCCGTGACGTATTCGATATGCCAAACACAGTAACAACAGAGTCTCACAATGGAGACATTACTGGGCCCACTCGAGCAAATGGATGAACAACAGGAGGACAGTGCTACAGGCCACCTTTTGGTGCTGTATATTGAGCTTATGGCCTCATGGATGCAAGGCAGCTGCTCTACCGTTGAGCTATATCCGTTGCCGTATTGGGACATTTTGAATGATATGACTGTTGGATTTGAGCGGGCTGCCCTTGCTTTGTAGGATATTACGCGGCATTGCTGGCTTTCTTCCTCACCCACATAGGCTCATCTTCTTAGTGTTTAAACTAATAAACATGGTGACAAGTGTGTGTGACTTGAAAAATTAAACTCTTTAGTGAAAACGGAATCCTGAAGCATCCTGAAATTCATTTTTATACTCTTAGGTATTGGCTTGGTTCGAGATCCCCAATAGATGTTAGTGAGAAAATGCCTGAAGGAAAGAACAGAGGGTGTTTGGTGACTGGGAGTATTTGTAAACACGAGGGGAGCGGCGGGGGAGTTGGCAGGACAGGGACATTGCTCAGAACTAAAGTGCATGTCTTGCATATGCCCGAGCGCTGGGAAGGACCCGCAGGAAAGCGAAGCACCACAAAGCAAGAACCAGATTCCATACCTCGCAGGAAGCCACAGGTTCATCTTTTCGGGTTGGGCATGGCTTCTTGCTCCCTAGGCAGAGCGTGGAGAGGATGCGCTTGGTTAACGGGGCTGAGTGTTAGGTCCAACCCTGCGCCTCCTTTGTCATCATGAGTACTTAGCTGTGTGAGGCAGCTGTGCAGGCGCACACGTGTATCTGGTTGCACAAGATGGTTCACTCCCTAGGGCCTCAGAGAACAGGCCCCTCAATGTCAGGATCCTGGAGTAGAACTTGTTACTGTCTGTCCAGTGATCCTGGGAGAAAGGGAGAGGCTTCACCGTGCATTCTCATGAATGGTGTTTCCCACAAGCGAGCAGAAAAGTGTGTGTGTGTGTGTGTGTGTGTGTGTAAAAAAACTGTGTGTATTATATATATGCTTAAGTAGGTCTGATCTTAGATAGCATAAGGATCAGTAACCTTCTAGGTAAAGGTAAAAGGTAAAGGCCCTCCCGTTGATCGTCGATTTGCTCGAGCGGGCCCAGTAACGTCTCCATTGGAGACTTTGTTGTTACTGTGTCTGGCATATCGAATACTCTCGGTAGCTTGCCGGGCTCTCCGAGAGGGGCGGAGGAATCGAACTCGGGTCGGCCATGTTGGCCGCTTGTAAGGCGAACGCCCTACCCGCTGTGCTATCGCTCCAGCGATATGTTTAACATGTTTAAGTAACATGTTTAAGTAACCTTCTAAACATGTTTAAGAACATGTTTAAGTAACCTTCTAAAGCCTAGCTTTTTTTTTTTTTTTTGGCTGGGGACTGATCCTAGATCATGTGCAAGCAAGCATCCTACCCACTCTAGTGTTCTCGCCAGCCCTAAAACATGTCTCCTGAAACCTAGCTTCTTAAACTGCAGGTCACTTGCAAAAAACTGTGTGTGTGGGGGGGGGTGCGTTAACAATTTCTAAACACGCAAGACCAAAAACTAATTTAGAGCCATCTGCGTAATGGGATCCTCAGTGTTTCTGGCAGCTGTATGCTCATGTTGTGTTTCCTGGGCTTTCAGCGGTCAGATAGGAAAGAGCTGCAGGGCCGCCCTGCCCTGCAAAGCCTTGGTTTTCACCCTTTTTGTTCACCTCAGCTGTCAAAGATCACTGTACATCAACAGAGCTGCTGTCTCTCTGTGGTGGAAACATTTATTTGGGCTGTGAGGAGTGATCAAGGGTGGGAAGAACATGTTTAAAAAGCTCCTGGTGGTGGCGAAGTGGTTATAATGAAAAGAAAAGAAAAAAATTGGGATTAGTGGATTGTGCCTCAGGCTCTGAACTCAGAGTTTTGATGCCCCGTCCCGGCTGTTTAAAAGCCATGAGGGGGCAGAAGGACAGTAGGCAGGGGACTGGCCTTGCACATGCTGACCCACTGTTGATGCTCTGAGCGCCCTGATTCCCTCCAGGAGTGACCCCCGAGCGCAGCCGGGAGTAAGCCCCGAGTATTGCCGGGTGTGTCTCAAAAATAAAACAAAATAAAGAGCTGCTAGGCCTGGACAGGTAATTTTTCTGAGCCTGTACTTTCAGTGCGAGGAGGGAGTGTTCCACTGTTGTTTTTGTCCAGAGGCCACCCTCTGCAGTGTTGGCAGCTGCTCCCGGCTCTGTGCTCAGGGAACCAGGCAGTGCAGGGGATTGAACCTGGGTCTCCTGCATGCGAATCATGTGCTCAGCCCTTTGAGCCATCTCTACGCAAAATGGGTTTGTGTATAGCATCCACCTTACAGGTTGTGGGGGCTGAATGACCCACGTGTGGATGTCACTGGTCCTAGTGGTCAATACTTAGAGGCAGTGTGGGGTGCAGCAGCATTGCACATGCGATCTTTTGTTTGTTTTGGGGTGACAGCCAGTGGTGCTCGGGGCTTACTCTCTGTGGTCAGGAGTCACTCTTGGCAATGCTCATCACTTCCACAGGGACCATATGCGGTGCTGAGGATCAAACCGGGCCTGGCCTTGTGCAAGGTGAACGTGTCAAAGCCTGTATGAGGCGATCTTCATGCAGACAGTTGCAGGCGAGCTCCCTGGGATAGTACCCCTGCCTGCTCTAGCCCCCAGCTCTGCCCGCTCGCCTTAGAAAAGCCTCTTGGCCACTGACTGGAGGGGTCACTTCCTGTGGCCCCAGGCCTGCCCGGAGTTTGATGCCAAGGCTAATCGAGCGTATTTTCCCCTTATCCAGTATGAACGTGGCTCTGCCACCAACTATATCACCCGAAACAAAGCCCGGAAGAAGCTGCAGCTGAGCCTGGCTGACTTCAGGTGAGATCGGAAGGCGTGGGCTGGGCTGGGGAGGTGTTGCTGTGTCCGGGGCTGTGGGGAGCTGTGCTTGCCATGTGCAGTCCCTGGGGAAGAGGAAGAGGATTCATTCAGGGCCCTGCGTTCTCCCATGGCCCACTGGTCTAGCTCTGCGCTGTGTCGGGGCATTGCCTACAGCAAACGGTTCTCAGCTCCCAGAACAGTGCTCTCCGCTGGCCCGAGGGCCGTGCCCCCTGTCGTCCTTCGCCCTATCCCACACTTCCCACCCCGTGTGGGATGCCCTCCCTGCTCCCTGGTGTGCCATGAAAATGTCTCCCTTGCCTGTCCGGGCCTTTTCCCGACCACCCCGTAGCTTGTGGCCTATGGCCACCCCCCAGTTAGCATCTCATGACCTTCACAGTGCTTGGAAGCCAGTGACTGTCAACCCCCCTCCCCCCCTGCTCTGGGCATGCCCTCTGATTGTCCTGGTGGGGTGAGGCCGGCCTGTGGGTGACCGGTGGCAAGGCTGCCTTTGTCTCACAGGCGGCTGTGCATCCTGAAAGGCATCTACCCCCATGAACCCAAGCACAAGAAGAAGGTGAACAAGGGCTCCACCGCGGCCCGCACCTTTTACCTCATCAAGGACATCCGCTTTCTCCTCCACGAACCTATTGTCAACAAGTTCCGTGAGTACAAGGTGAGGCCTGGCCTTCAGGGGACCCGTGAACTCTGACCGCGGGTAGGTAGGTGCTTGGATCTCCCTGAGCAAGTCTGCTCAGAAGTAAGGTGATTCTACCAGGATGAAATGAAAATCCCAGTGACGAGTGCCGTACCCACCCTACTTTTCCCCTGCTGCCTTCAGAAAGGTTGACAGAGATGGCCTGGAGTGTAGAAAAGATACTGTTTCCGAATAACAAGAGTCTGTTTGGATTCTTTCTAGAAGTGGTGCCAGGAACCCAAGCTTTTCATTCAGAGAGACACCATTAAATACTTAGGTACCACAGGGAAAGGAGAACCACTTTTTATTTTTTTCATTTTGTTTTCCTTTTTTTAATTGAGTCACTGTGAATTTCAAATTTCACTGTGATTCGTGATTGAGTTTCAGTCATATAGTGTTCCGTTGCCAATCCTTCGCCAGTGTCCCCAGTTTCCCTCCCGCCCTTCAGCCTGCCTCTGACAGGCACTTTATATCTCCTTTCAGCACTCTGTCTCCTCCAGAGGGACCACTTCCCTCCACCAGTGTTTTACTCTTCTGTACAACACCCTCACCCCTTGGCAAGCTTCCTGCTATAAACCAGGAGAATCACTTTCTACCACTTGCAAATAAATGAAAATCAAAAAGTTGCTGCCCAGGCTGGGAGGGGCGAGGACGCCACCTGGCGGCCACAGTGACTGGCAGGTGCAGGCCTCCCTCTCACCCTATTGGCAATTTAAATAGTGATCACTGTGTTGGCTGGAGCTATAACACTGCCGGTAGGGCACTGGCCTTATGTGTGGCCAGGTCCCCCAAGCACCAAGGAGGCAGTGCCAAGAAGCCCTTACCACAAGGAGGGATTCCTGAGTGCAGAGCCAGGACCCACCCCTGAGCATCACCAGGTATGAACCAGAAGCAAAAACAAAACTCACTGTGTTGGCAGTGGGCCTTTGAGGGTAAGGGCTTCTTGGCACTGCCACTTATGACCCCAGGGGATGACTGAGCCCGGTCCTGGCCAGCAGAACTCAGTGGGAAGAAATGGGTTTGCCTGGAGGGCCTTCTGGGCCGGCTGCATTTTCCTTGGTGGCCCGGCCCCATACATCCCAGACTCCTGACCTAGGATTGGGCGTGAAGACTACCCTTCGCCCTGCCCAGCTCTCATCTCCCCTTGGCCTCTCTCTGTTGGCAAGTGCCAGAGAAGATCAGTTTCCCTATGTGTGGTAGCACAGTGCGGCCTTCGTCCTCCGTCCCGCACCTGCCACTCTGGCTTGTGCAGCTTCGTAGCCAGTTTTGGTGCCTTCGGAGTGTGCCGTGGTGCGGAGCCTGAGCTCAGGGCAGGACCCCGCCAGGGCCCTCCTGTCACCCCCACCCTCTCTGTGCAGATAGGGGCGTGCAGACAGCAGCACCTGCTCTCTCACAGGTCTTCGTGCGCAAACTGCGGAAGGCCTACGGGAAGAGCGAGTGGAACACCGTGGAGCGCCTGAAGGACAACAAGCCCAACTACAAGCTTGACCACATCGTCAAGGAACGGTGGGTCGGGCTCTGGGCCCAGCACCCGGGTGGTGTGGGCATGGAGACAGCACCCTCCCCAATGGATTGGCAAGGAGTTTGGGAGGCTGATCAGCGCATACCCACCACCATGAGTTGTTAACAGAGATTGTGAGGCAGGCCAGAGCTATAGTACAGCGAGGAGGAGGACATTTGCCTTGCACTCGGTTGACCCAGGTCTTATCCCCAGCATCCCATATGGTCCCTCGAGTAAGCCCTGAGCATTACTGTGTGTGACCCAAAAGGCGAAAAAAAAATTGTTAAGACCACTGCCTTGAGGGCTGCCGCCTGCTAGAAGGAACTAAGGCACAGGGTTAGTTGCAGACAGAGCCGAGGGGCTTCTCCGAGGGAGGATGTTGGAGACCTCCAGGGAGTGCATCGTTTTTTGTTGTTGGTTTTTTCCTTTGGGACGCGGGGTGGGGTGTAGGGGGCTCTCCCGAGCAGTGCCAGGAGGCCCAGGGCTTCCCTGCTGGCAGCGCTCTGGCAATACTGAAGGTAACCAGTGTGGTGTTCAGTAGGAAGCGTTGCTGCAGGTGCTCTGTGCGGTGCCAGTGATTCCTCAGGTGTCCCTGGCAGTGCTGTGCTCAGGGGACCACGTGGTGCCAGAGAGAAAACCAGGTCAGCTGTGTGCAGGGCAAGCGCCTTCACCCTCATACCGTTCTCTGCTCCCGGGGAGTACATCATAAAAGCAGACAAGTGCCAGGGGTGGGCGATGGCGCGCGGGACCTTTGCCCTCCTCTCTCAGCGATGGCCCCACTTTTGGCTAAAGTGATGCAGCTTCACCTGAGGGGATTGTTGCCTGCCCGCCCCAACTTCCCTGGGCATCATGTGGCCCGGTCTAGGGACACTTAAAGTTCTCGAACCTCGGCTCTGGGGGTCGGAGGTGTTTGATGAGTCGAGGCCAGCGATGCTGCCAAACAGCCCTGGCCGGGAGTCCACGAGCTGGGTGGTCAGAGACTGTAACACCTCAGAGTCACTCTTGTCCCGCCCTTACTGCATCGCTGGCGCTGTGTGGAAAATGTGAAAGAAATGAGGGCACTGTGGTGGGCCCACTTCCGGTCACCCTCAGCTCCGTGACTGTGGGTTGAGAAAATGTGGGTGTCTAAGCAATGGTGGTGCTGAATTCAGAGCCCAGCCTTAGGGGTGTGTGTGTGTGTGTGTGTGTCGGGGGAGGGGGTGTCTACAAGGTGGGGAATGAGGAACTAGGGCGCAGGTGAACTAGGGGAGCTTCTAGAGGCTCTCCTCCAGTTGTGCAAGAAGTCCCCATAGACTGTCCTTCCCTGGGGTGTGGTTAGAAGATGGGGTGCAGCCGATCTGCTGGGAGCGCTGCCTCGAGGGTCTCTGATGTCTGGGTTCCGAGCGGCCGCTTTCCCCCACCACTGTTCGTGCTGGTTCCGGCTCCAAGCCCCACGCCCTCCTGAGTGCCCACAGCTTCCCTCCATCACTGTCCCGAGGACCCTCCCCTCACCCCATTTCCCCCAGGTGAGCTCAGTTCTGTAGACCAGTTGTCCAGTTCTGACACCTTTGGCCATTGTTTTTTTTCTTTACTACTTTTTGTTGTTGTTTTTTTATTTGGGGACCACACCCAGCAGAGTTCAGGACTGACTGACTTCAGGGATCACTCCTTTTGGGGCTCAGAGGACCGAATGGGGTGCCAGGGATTTCATCCGGGCCAACCGCGTACAAGGCAATTGCCCTGCCCAAATCTCTTCGGCCTGGTCGCATGTGTTGTTTGTTGGTGGTGTTGTTTTTAACATAGCCCTTACCAGTTTTCACCATCTACTTTTCTTGAAGAGGCTTCCCTTGCTCCACTTCATGCTCATGAGCTCCTTTGTGGATTAGCTGACCATACACCTGAGAAGCTGCCTGGCTCTGGGCTCTCAATTCTGTTCCATCGCTCTGAGATGACCACACTGTCTTGATCACTATACATAGCTTCACAGTGAAATTTAAAGTTGGGGAAAGAAAAGTCTCCCACCTTTTCTCCTAGGGCTGTTTTTGTTACTTAGGGAATGGGACTTACCATTCCATGTAAAAATTTTGGGTGGGTGGGGGGCCACACTTGGCAATGCTTAGGGATTACTCCTGGCAGTGCTCAGGGGACCATGTAGGGATTGAACTTGGGTTGGCCGCTTATAAGGCAAAAGCCCTCCTCACTGTACTATCGCTCCAGCCTCACCATGTAAATTTTAACAGTATTTAGTATTTGTACCTAATGTTACAAATATTTTTATAGATGCTGCATAGACTCTGAGTATTGCTCTGGCAAGGATGATCATTCTGAGGATTAATCCTTCTGATTTATGATCAGGGGATGTTTCCATTTCCTTGTGTTTCCGTCTCTTAGTAATGACCTAAAGTTTTCTTTGTATACACTTCTTCCAGTTATTTGGGGTTTTTTGTTTTTGTTGTTTCTTTGGGGTTTTTGTGCCACACCAGGTGGTGCTCTAGGCTTACTCCTGGCTGTGCACTCAGAAATCATTCCTGGCAGCCTGGGGGACCACATGAGGTACCAGGGTTAGAACCTGGTTTGGCTGCACTCAAGACAAGCACCTTACCTTGTGTGTGGTGTGTGGCCCCTCCAGTAAGTATTTGGTTTTGGAGGCATAATTGTGGATCTAGTTGTTTTTTAAATTTCTCTCTTTTACTTCGTTGTTTGGGTGTGGAAATGCCCTGGATTTCTGTGTGTCGATTTCTTTTTCATAAGTCTGCCATTTTACTGTATTTTTTGCTTTTGTTTTGGGGGATGTACCTGTGCTGCTCGGATATCACTCTCAGTGGCACTGGGGGACCGTGTGTGTTGCCTGGGACGGAGCAGGGGTTGGCTGCATGCAAGCCTCTTAACCACCGTCTTCTCTCCAGCTCCCTGCCACTTGACTGGATCAGTTTACTGCTTCGAGGACTTTTTGGGGTTGCATCTTTAGGGTTTTCTAAATATAGTACCAAGTCATCACCTGCCAGTGGCGAGTTGGACTTCTTTCCCGATCTGGCCGCCCGTGCTGTCTCTCGCTTGCCTGATTGCTGTGACAGGACTTTCAGTGCTATATGGAGTAGTGGAGAGAGTGGCCAGCCTTGCCTGGCCTGATCTCTGAGGAAAGGCTTTCCAAAGTTTCTCACCGTTGAGGATAATGTTGGGGGAGGTTGGCGGGAAGTGGCTTTAATATGCTGAGGAAAGTGCCTTCCGTCCCAATTTTGGAGCCACAGAACCTTTCAGCAAAGGGGCGTTTCTGAGAAGCCTGTGCTGGTGCCACGGGCTCATGGTGGGAGGGAAACCCTGTCTGCCCTTCCCCGGGGGGCTGCAGGAACCCCGTTTTATTTTCTTGAGTGGGGCTCGGGGGCTGCAGCTCTTTGTGCCGCCGTTGTGCTGGTTGCCGTGCAGTGTGGGGCAGCGCCCTCGCTGCCCAGCTCCTCTTCAGCCTCAGAGCCCCAGTCTCGCTCACCGAGGCCGGTTCCTCCGGGACGCCATGGGCTCGGGCATGAGACCTACTCAGTCACAGCTGGTGCTGGACTTTCATGTCACTGTGTATCCAGCGTCCTCTTGGTGACCCCCGCCTCCTCCCCTCCGTGGGGATCCTGCCCTGGGTGCATGCACGTTTGCCCTGGGATTCCCGGGAGCACCTCCTGCCTGTGCTCTTCCTGGCCCCGACTCCTGGTTCCAGCATTCAGCCTCCTACAGACTGGACAAGACGTAGGTGACGGTGGACATGACCTTGCCCTCTCTGGTGGCCAGTGTCTGGGCTGGTGCTCCGCCCCCCCCCAACAACCCTTTTTTTTTTCCCCCAAACGTAGGAGTACTGATATTTATTCAGCCACTGATTATCTGATTGAATTGGGCATGAACTCCACCTTTTTTTTTCATAATTTTATTTATTTATTTTTCTTATATTTAGTTATTGAATTACTGTGGGAAAAGTTAGAAAGCTTTCAGGTTTAAGTCTCAGTCATACAATGATTAAACACCTTTCCCTTCACCAGTACTCATTTTTCACCACCAAGAACCCCAATATACCCTCCTCCCACCCCTCCCAATGCCTGTGAAGGAGATGATTTCTACTTGACTCTTCTCTACATTGATTACATTCATTATTTTTACAAGAGATGCACTATTATTGTTTAGAATTTCCCCCCAAAAATCAGAATTGCTGAAAAGGCATTGTGAAATACTTTGTCTTCTATAGCTGGTTATGAGAATCATATAATGTCGCATGGCCGCTATTGCGGCCGCGCGGATTTTGAATTTCTACAAAGAGCCAGATAATTACGAGATTGGTTTCTGTGCGTCTGGTGTTATGGCTGTGCCGGAAAGCCGCTCGTGGGGACAACTTGTGACCTCGGTAAGGCGGGAAGGACGAGCCGGTACCGTCCCCCTTCCCATGAGACTGCAGTTGCCTCATCACCGCTGGCTCATACCTGGCTTTCCTATAAGCTCTGCTGCGGCCCAACAACCCTTGATGGCTTCACCTTTCCCACCTGCCCTCGCGGGCCTCCAGGGGGCGTTCCCTGGAAACTAGTTTCCACCTTCAGAACAGCCCAGTAGCCACCGACTCCCGCTTCCTTTGACCACACCATGTGGCCATGGGTGGAAGTCAGGCCCCTGGTGAGCAGTGGGCGTCGTGGAGACTGGCAACCCCCCTTGGATCTCTGCACTCAGCTGAGCAGTCACATCCTGGGCTCCGGGGAGTGGACTCTGCCTGGTTGCTGGACACGCCCGACTTTCTGATGGGGAGATGGCAGTGTTGGCCTGGCTCTGGGAACCGGGCCTTGGGGGGCCTCACGGGGTAGGCCAAGGTCAGGGGGCCTGAGTGCACATCCCTGCTGGCCACGCAGGTACCCCACATTCATCGATGCCCTGCGGGACCTGGACGACGCCCTGTCCATGTGCTTCCTCTTCTCCACCTTCCCGCGGACCGGCAAGTGCCACGTGCAGACCATTCAGCTGTGCCGCCGGCTGGCCGTGGAGTTCATGCACTATGTGATCGCTGCCCGGGCCCTGCGCAAGGTCAGCTGGGACCCCCCATGCCACCCACCCACCCTCCCGGCCACCCTGGGGGCCTCACCAGGCTTCTCCCTGCCCTCCCCCTCTCCCCCCAGGTCTTCCTGTCCATCAAGGGCATTTACTACCAGGCCGAGGTGCTGGGGCAGCCCATCGTGTGGATCACACCCTACGCCTTCTCCCATGACGTGAGTGCGCCCCGCGTTCCCTCTCTGGCTCCTGGACAGAGATTTGGGCAAAGGCGGGAGTGGGCTGCTGTGGAGTCCTGTGTGCTGGGTTCCAGGGGTGGGGGGTAAGGAATGTGCTAGACCATCGCCTAGAGCACAGCCACCAGCTCCAGTGGCCTGACAGGGTGACTCGGGCTTGGCCTTCAGGCCCCGCGAAGCCTTGCCGTGAGGGAAGGAAGAGAGTTGTCCAAGGTGTGATATTTGCCCCTCTGGGGTCGGTGGGCCAGTGAGCGCCTTGCTGGCCGAGTTGGGCCCGCGCCCACTCGGCTGGGCCAGGCTGCTTTGCCCACACTCCTGCCTCCCTCGCCTCCAGCGCTCCCACAGGTCTGGGGAACTGGTTGAGTTGGAAGAGAGTGAGACGCCCGTGGTGCTCCTTCCTTACCTCTTGTTCAGTGGAAACATTCGCAGTGGTGGGGAGGAGAAACCGTTCCCTCCCTTGGGTGCTGCACCCCCACCCCAGGGTGCACCAGGCCCTGGGAGGCATCGCCTCCCTGCCTCTGGGCTGCTTCGGGCCTGCCCGCCTGCCCGCCCAGGCTCTGAGTGGGCACTGGCGCCTCGGGTAACGAGCCGGCCTGATAAGCCTGGGGTGATGGGGGTGTCTCGGTCCCCGGAGGACGCCAGGCTGGCAGAGGGGGCCGGAACATGCCCTCACCACAGGGCTCGGTGGCAGCTGCAGCCTGGGCAGCGGTGAAGGGCAGGGTTGGCCCTCGGCGGGGCCCGCTGTGTGCCAGGCCTGTGCCCTTCGGCGCCGCATCCCTCCTCCTCCTGCCCGCCTGCCTTCTTGGGCCGCCCACCCGCCTTCCTGCGTGCCCTCCCGCTCCTTCCTTCCCTCTGATGTCCTGCCCCCGTGCTGCTCACACTGGGCTTTGTCCTCGCAGCCAGCGGCTGGTGAATAGGGCTCCCCACAGCTGGCCCGGGCGGATGGGAGGGGGGCCACCCCTTCCTCCTTCCTGCTGGCCAGCTCGCTGCCTGCCCTTCGTAGCAGGATGGTGGCTGCGGCTGCTGGGCTGTGGGGTCCTGGGAGGCCGAGCAGCTGCCGGGGCCCCTCTGCTCTTCAGGCGGGCCTGTCACCAGGGCCTCAGGCCAGGTAGGGCCCCTCAGTGGTGGCCTGGCACCCCGCAGCCTCTGCCCGGTACGTGGGCCCTGCAGGCCAGCCCTTGGGGAAACCACTGAAGGGGGCCATGGGGCAGGGGACGGAGCAGGTCCGAGCACTGACCAGAGCCGGCGGGCAGCAGCTTCTCAAGCACGGAGCTGAAACATGCCAACGAGGGGGCCGGGGATGGCGCGCCAAGGACTCCCTTTTCCTCCATCCAGCTTTCCCTTTAGGCCTTGGGGTCTGACTCTGGGTTCCGGGACTCCCAGCCTCCCTGGGACTCCTCCACACGCCTGCTGCAGCCCAGCCTGCCCCTGTGTGGGGCCCCTCCCCTCCCCTATGGACCGCTTGCTAAAGAGCACCAGAGCTTGGCCCCCGTCCCTGGCCTCACCCAAGCCGACACACCCCTCTCCTGTGCCCCCAGCACCCGACCGACGTGGACTATAGGGTCATGGCCACCTTCACTGAGTTCTACACCACCCTGCTGGGCTTCGTCAACTTCCGCCTCTACCAGTCCCTCAACCTGCGCTACCCGCCCAAGGTAGGACCCCCCGCCCGCACCCGGTACCCCAGAGAGGGGGTGGGGCGGCCACTCCTTGCTGCCACCCCCCAGGGCTTCTCTATCTGACTGTCCCCCTGCCTCCCAGATCGAGGGGTTCGCAGAGGCGAAGGGCAGTGAGGAGAGCTACGCGCTGGACTCGGAGAGTGCCCTGGAGGTGAGGCTTCTGGGTGGGACTCGGCACCCCAGCCCACCCCTGCCAGCACGCCCACCCACCCCTACCAACACACACGAGGCCACCGAATAGCCATCCACTTCTCTTGGCAGAAACTGGCCGCTCTTAGCGCCAGTCTGGCCCGCGTGGTGCTGCCCATGGAGGAGGAGGAGGCCCAAGTGGATGAGTTTCCAGCCGAGGGGGTGAGCACTACACGGGCTCTGGGGGGGGGGGGGAACTGAGGGGGGGTGTTGCGGGACACTGCAGATGCAAGGCCGGCCCCTCTCACGGCAGGACGAGGCGGCGCAGGACGAGGAGCACAGAAAGGAGCTGGAGGCCCAGGAGAAGCACAAGAAGCTCTTCGAGGGCCTGAAGTTCTTCCTGAACCGGGAGGTGCCCCGGGAGGCCCTGGCGTTCATCATCAGGTCGGGGGTTGCTGGGGTCGGAATTGGGGTGGGTGGGAGGGTGCAGGTGCAGGCCCCGGGGCTGGCCTCACGCCTGTCAGATGGGATCCTGGGGGTGCGGAGGGCACAGGTGGGTCCCGGGCAGGCAGGTCATGGGCTTCCCTCATGCATGCAGGAGTTTTGGGGGTGATGTGTCCTGGGATAAGTCTCTCTGCATTGGGGCCACTTACGACGTCACAGACTCCTGCATCACCCACCAGATTGTGGACCGGCCGGGGCAGCAGGCCTCAGTCATCGGCAGGTAGGTTCCCCGGGCGCAGGGCGTCCTCTACTTAACTGAGGGTGCTGGGGACAGAGGTCAGGCTCGAGGCCTCCGGGGCCTCAGGCTGCCCGGTGACCGTCGTCTGCCACCTCCCGGCCCCAGGTCCTACGTCCAGCCCCAGTGGGTGTTCGACTCCGTGAATGCCCGGCTCCTCCTCCCCGTGGCCGACTACTTCCCTGGGGTCCAGTTGCCCCCTCACCTCTCGCCCTTCGTGTCAGAGAAGGAAGGCGACTACGTGCCCCCTGAGAAGCTGAAGCTGCTGGCCCTGCAGCGGGGCGAGTACCCCGGTGAGTGCGAGGGGGCTGGGCTGACCCCCGGCCCCTTGGGACTAAGTCCCGGGAGCAGAGCGGTTGGTTCCCTCCAGCAGTGCGGAGGAGCAGGGCAGAGCAGTCTCAGGTTTCCGAGGCTGACAGGAGGCAGCAGCGCTGTGGGGGTTCTGGGGGTGGGTCGTGCCATGGGGCTGGCCCTCTGTGCAGAGGGCAGCGCCTGCCGGGGGTGGGCCAGGCTGCCTGGCACATGGCCACCAGCTGCCGTCAACTCTCAGTAGGCAATTTGGGTGAATCTGAAGAGGAGGATGAGGAGGAAGATAGTGAAGGTGACAGGGATGAAGGAGGAGATGATGACGACGAGGAGGAAGAGGCCGAGGAGGCCGAGGCTGGTTCGGAAAAGGAGGACGAGGCCCGACTGTCAGCCCTGGAAGAGCAGAGGATGGAGGGGAAGGTACCGGGGCTGGGGGGGCGGGGGCAGCTGAGGAGGGTGCAGCCCGGAAGCCACTCTCCGGGCCACCTTGGTGCAACCCAGCCCGGAGGACAGGCACGAGGGCAGGGGATCTCTGGCCTGTGTCCCCAGAAGCCCAGGGTGATGCCAGGCACCGTCAAGCTGGAGGACAAACAGCGGCTGGCCCAGGAAGAGGAGGCTGAGGCCAAGCGCCTGGCGATCATGATGATGAAGAAGCGGGAGAAGTACCTCTACAACAAGATCATGTTTGGCAAACGGCGGAAAATCCGGGAGGTAAGTCCCCGTGGCCTCGTCACCCTGGGGCGGACAGATGGCTCACACCAGGTCTTCCGCTGCCTCTCTGAGTTGCTGGAGTCGGGGACGGGGCAGACAGACTACGGCTGGGGGGGCACACACACGACTCTGACCAACGCCCCCTACGTGCATCCAGTTAACAAAGGGTGCAGGAGCTTGTGTTACATTCCTCATTTTCAGAACAGCATACTTTTTTTTCTTTTTCTACTAAAATTACATTTTTTTAAATTCTTTGACTTTTGGGCCACACCCAGCGATACTCAGGGGTTACTCCTGACTCTGCACTCAGGAATCATTCTTTGGTAGTGCTCAGGGGACCGTGTGGGATGCCAAAGATTGAACCCAGGTCGTCTGTGTGCAAGGTCAACTTGCTTCTTTAAAAAAAAAAAGTTTCATTGTCCATAGAGCTTTGCAGTGGACGTGGCCCATAGCTCCTTCCTGGCAGGGGGGGAGGGGGTGGGGATCCTGTGGTAACTACTCTCCAGGTTTCTGTTAAGGTTTTTATTTGGGGAGTAGATGGTGCCCCCTGCGCCAACTGGACTGGTGGTTCAGTGCAAGGCCTGAGAATGTGGAGCTGGTACCAGAGATTATCGGGGCCTCTGGGGCTGCACCTGGAGATACCCAGGGAGCACGTGGTGCCAGGAACCAAACTGGGTCAGGCGCATACTGAGCATGCGCCCTGCCCACTGTGCATCTTTGGGCCCGAGGGTTGCTTTCGTGCCTGTAATAATAGACTGGCCGGAACCTCGGGCGCTGTCAACCTTGTTTGCAGTAGCCGTCTTGTTTAATTACAGCGATCTTGTATAATTACAGCTGTAGTTAAATTAGTTACAGCTTTCCCTGGCCTGAGCCCTCTTGAGATGAGTGGGTAACAATCCATTAAATGGCGTGGAAACATTCCACGTGTGCCTTAGAAAACACCTGTGAGGGGCCCACTGAGACAGTGCAGGAGGAGGAGGGCCTGAACCCCATCCCGGCCACCCAGCCAGGTGGGCCCAGTATCGCCAGGATGGCTCTGGGACCCCTGGGCACACCTTGAGAAGCCCCCAAAGCAAAAATAAGTCATGGAAAACACCTTTGAGCACACCACTGCCCTCCCAAAAATATCTCTGCAGGGGAATCTGTAGGCACAGATGTGCCGCGGTGGGGCCGGAGCGATAGTACAGCAGGGAGGGCGTTTGCCTTGCACGAGGCTGACCCGGTTCTATTCCTGACACCCCATATTGATGGCCTCCAAGAGTGCCAGTGATCCCTGAGCACTGCTAGTGTGGCCCAAGAATGGGGAGAAAAAGAGGGAAAGTTAAAAAAAAAAAACGTGTTTGTTTCCTCTCCTGAATCCTCCACTCCCATGGCTGCGTGCCTTCGGGCTCTCCTAGAAGCTCTGCTTGTAAGAGATGACTGGACATAGGGAAAGAGGGGGTCCCTACCCCATCACAGTTTGACTCACGTACCCTGTCCTCCTGACAGGCCAACAAACTGGCAGAAAAGCGGAAAGCCCACGACGAGGCCATGAGGTCTGCTAAGAAGGCCAAGAAGGCCAAGCCGGTGTGAGCGTCTCCTGGGCACAGCAGGACTCGGCACAGGCAGACCAGATGCCCCAGGCACGGTGACAGACCAGAGACCTCTCTCTCCACCCTCCTGCTCCCTGCCGGCCCTCACACTCGGCCTCCCTTGGATGGAGCTCCTGGCTGATGGCTGGTCAGGGCAGTGACTTCTGGGCCCTGCCTCGCTCTGCTCCCTGAGTGACATGGGGTGTGGGGTGTCAGGCCACCCCTCCCCTGCAGCTCCATTCACCCCGTCATCCGTACACGCACGGTTGGATCCTATTCTCTGGTGCTGTGACGGAGGCAGGGAAGTGGGGTTATTAAACAGCTGGAATTTTGCAGCCAACTGTGTTCTGTTTGTGAGTCTGCTTTTGTGGACCTCCCTGGCATAAATTAACCCAAAGGGTCTGGGCATTATTGCCCAGAGCTCTCAGGATGTCTGGGGTGCCGGAAGGCAGGTACTGACTCCAGGAGTGGCTCTGAAGTCGTCAGCCAGTGGTTCACACTCGAGCCTGTGACCCTGTGACCCTGCTTCCTAGTGTATAAATTCAGGCTGGGAATCCTGGGCATGGTGTGTTAGGGGACCCCAGTAAACTGCCTGGTCTCAATAAACATTCACAATTGTTGTCAGCCCGGAAAATGCAGACCAGAGCCTCCAGGCTCTGCGGGTCCAGATTAGGGCATGCAGTGAGGACCCCTAGTGTGACAGGCCCTCAGGTGGGTGCTACCAGCTCCTGCTTTGCGACCTTGGCTGGGCTGACTCCCATCTGAACTTGGCAGTACCTTGCTCAGGTCCATCTCAGAACCCCCATGGCCCTTGTCCAGGGCTTCCAGGGTCAGGCAGGGAGTTTGGGACAGTTCTTCAGGGTGGGCACAAGCCAGGCCCCAGCAGGGAAGGGCTGACCAACTGGGAGCTAGGTTCTGATTTTGGACTAGCCTTGGCTCCCAGCCCCTTACCTAGTCAGGCTCCATAGGAACTGAGTTGGGTGTGCAGTTCCCTGCTCAGGGAGCTGGGTTGTGGGTGCAGTTCCGTGCTCTTTGGGGCTATGCAGGCGGGGAGAAGCCCGGCTCTGATGGGGGGAACAGACACCCAGCACCCCTGTCTCCTGTGTGCTCTGAGGGAGGAGGCAGATCCCACACTCAGGGTCAGCCTGCAGTTCTAGCCGGTGACTGGGCGCTAGTGACCCTGGGGTCAGGCAGGGCGGGGACCAGGCCTATCCCGTTTGGAAAAATCCCCGACTGCGCCTTGAGGTGGAATTTTTCCCCATTCCACAGTCGTCCGGTGGTGGCGGGGGCAGGGGGCACCCGACTTGACACGGGCCACTGGGTGACAGCTGGTTTTGTGCTGCCCACAGCTGGGGCTGGGCATTCCTGGCTCTGGGAGGGCATTCGTCCCGTCCTTGGTCCTGCCCTCCGGGGTGACGAGGGAAGGCTGGGACTGGGAGTGAGGAGTGGAGTGGAGGCGTGTCTGTACCCAGCCCTGATGGGCGCGGGGGAGCCGCGGGGTCCCCTGAGCTCCCCAAGTGTCTGGCCCTACTCGGAGACAGCGCCTCGCTGAGCTCGCCCGGCGGGATGCTCATCCAATGCGCGCCCGGAACGTGTCTCGGACGCGCTCCCTTCTCCGGGGTCCTCCAGGCCCCAGGACCCCCGACGACGAGCTGAGTCGCTCCATGCGGCCGCTCCTGTCCCCCAGAGCCGGCTGCCCCGCCACCATGCCACCCAGCTGCCCGGGCACCCGCGAGTCCCCGGGGCCTGGATGCCGGTCCGAGTCTCAGGGTCCGGCGGCCGGACAATGGCCCCGTTGGCGCTCCCGAAACAAACGGGCCTTGTTGGGCGGTCGGCGGGGGCGCGGCCCTGCGCCCCTGCGCGCTGAATGCGGCTTCTGTGCGGCCCGGGAGGGCGCGGGGCGGCCGGGAGGGGGCCGGGGCCCGGGGCGCCCATTGGCCGCGGCGCGGGGGGCCGGGCCAGGCCGGGGCCGCACCTGGCCTGCAGCGCGCGCGGCGGCGGCGGGGCGCCGGCATGGTCCAGGCCGGCCCGAGCAGGGGGCCCAGGCGGGAACGCCCCGCCGCCTAGTCGGCGCGGCCCCAGGGCCGAGGCAGCCACGCCAAAGCCGAGGACAGCGGGGACGAGGTATGTGCCTGGGGGCCCCACCCCCTCCCTCCGCCAGCTTGCCTTCTGCCTCAGTCTACCGCCCAGGGTGCAGCCCTTCGGCCCCCCACCCCGGGGGGCAGAGCGCACCGACTCACCTGGGCGCAGTGGAGCCTCCCCTCCCCAGGCTCCAGGGTCGCCGTGCCCCTGCCAGCTGCCGGAGGGGGGAGCCCTGGCCAGGCCGGGTGCAGAACCCTCCTCTGTCCGCGCTTGGTTTCTTCCCCATGGCCCTCGTCCAGGGCTTCCAGTCCCCTGGAAAAGGGGTGGGTGGGGCCGGCGCTGGAGGTCATTAATGTTTAATCTGCGTCCCAGGGCACTAGCCCAGAGGACTCGGGATTTCACCTCCCTCCCGGGAGAGCATGTGAATAGAGCAGAGCAGAGGCTGGATGGGACCACACCAAGAGACCCACGCCCTCTGCCTCGCAGGACCCCGCCCTGCACTTCTGAGGGGTGTGGCGCGGGGCAGAGGACCTGTGGGCACAGGCACTAACCGGTGCTGGGGTCCAGGAAAGGCCCCCCTGCCCCCCCCCAACAGGCGGCAGTGCCTTATGGCACCTGGGGAGGGCACAGAGCAAGACTGGGCCCCTTCGGATGGCCACTAGGTCCCCACTGCGGGCGGGAGGAGGACAGGCGAAGGCTCACATCTGGCTGCTGTAATCCACACCGGTGGGAGGGAGGGGCAGGGCAGGAGAGAGGCCGGCGGCCTGACACCTGACTCCCGGGTTGCCCAGGAGACCGGTGCCCACCATGGAAATCCTCAGCAGGATGGACCAGTTCGGAGACTCCATCCTCTTTCTCGGCCAAGGGAGTGATGGGAGGGTCAGAGACATGAAGTCCCCCCTGCAGCTCTATTCCTGACCCTGTGCAGGAGGCACGGCTACCTCCGTATTACCCGGAGAGGGAAACCGAGGCTCAGGAACAGGCCCTGACTCGCCCATGGCCACCTAGTCCCGGTGTGGCCACGTGGACGGCCCATCACAGACTCAGCCAGCATCCTCCCTGCTCCAGACCTCCCTCCCCGCGGAGGCGCCTAACCTCCCGGCCCAACCCCCCCACCGAGGACCCCTTCTCCCCTCACCTCTTTAGCTCCCAGCTCTGCCTGACACTCGGGGGTGGGCAGGCCGTTTCCCGGGAGCAGATACAACAGAGCCCTGTTCCCCGCTGCCCCCTCCGGTTGCTGCTTCTCCTGCTTCTCGCTCGGGCAGTGCTTCCTTGCAGGAATCTCCTGCCGTCCCAGGAATCCGTGGCCAGCTCCCTGTGCCTTGCCGAGCCCCATGGGTGTGGGTGGAGTGTTTGCGGGCACAGGTCCCTTGCCTAGCATGGGAGGCCCTGGTGTCCTTCCTGCCCCTCCCTCTGGGCTGGAAAAGGCCGAGTGTTCCAGAAGCAAATGATTAACCTGGGAGAACAGACCCGGCTGCAGGAATTCCACCCCTGGCAGGGCGAGGGTTTCTGGCTTCGCTTCGTTTTGTTGGGTTGTTTGTTTTTATCTTTGGCAATGCTCAGGAATTACTGTTTTATCTGGCAATGCTCAGGAATTACTCCTGGCGGGGCTCAGGGAACCCTATGGGATGCTGGGGGTTGAACCTGGGTCCCCCGTGTGCAAGGCAGATGCCCTATCCGCTGTACTCTCTCTCTGGCCCCTTTAGCTTCACTTTGATTGGTCAGGGAATGTGGACAACCCCCTTCTGAAGCCCCTTTCTGATGTGGACAACCCCTTGCTGGTCTAGACACAGCAAGACAGGATGAAGTCGAGGGACCCAAGGGAGGGTCCATGGGGGAAGAATTGGACTAACTAGTGGAGGAGAGACAGCTGGGAGTGTCCACTGCTTTCCCACCTGTCAGTTATGAGCAGAGATGAGGTGGGACTTGGACACCGTCACCCTGATCTGGTCTCCATGATGGCTTGATTTACCCTGGGGCCCTAAGCAAGAACTTCCCAACCTGTGCCTCACTTCCCTTCGTTGTGAAATCTGGAGGGAACTGGGGTCAGGGCCTGGGCAATATGGGTGCTTGGATGAGGGGTCCTGCTTCTCCTGCCAGATGGTTCTAGAAGGGTTCGGCTAACATGAAGTGTGGAAGGGCTCAGGTGCAGGATCTCACCTGAACCTCACTATGAGACCATGAGAGGGACAGTCTTTTAATTTTTTTAATTAGGAATTTGGGGTGCAGAAGGGCAAGCCCCCTGCCCCAGGCTGCTCAGTTGCAGGCTTAGTAGAACTTGAACCTCTCAGAGTCTCCCCTAGTTGGGAGTAGGGGAATAGTAAATGTTTCGTTCCTCTTCCAGATCTTTCCATCGTGGCTGCTTTAGATGCCGGCAAGGTCATGACAAGCTTCAGTATTTTCCGTCGTACTGTGGGCAGAGTCTATTATCAACTCCCACATGCTCCCCTCGGAGCTAATGGACAGGGACAGGCTTCTTGGCTAACCCGTTTCTCAGAGCCTCTTTGGGATAACTCTAATCTGCCCTTGTAAATTGAGGTGATTTTGCATAGATGGGGGGGTGGGTGGCAGGAAGCATCCGTGGGTGTGTCTCTGATCTGGCTTGCCCCGGAGCCCTTCCACAGGTCTCAGTTTCCCTGCCTGTCTCAGGGCAAACTCAATGACTTGGGAGGATGGGTTCTGGGACATCAGGGAGGGTGTCCTTTGAAACAGAGGGAGGGACATCAGGGAGGGTGTCCTTTGAGAAGGCAGAAGGAGATGACACAGCAGGATTGTCAACTGCTCTGAATTGGTGGAGTCAGGGGCGGGCGGAGCCCTGGTAGGCTGGACAGTTCTGAGGTGCTCCTGGGAGGCCCCACACTGGGTTTCTGCTGAAGTGCTCTTCGGGAGAGCCAGCTGTCTCTGCTCTGACACTTCGCTGCCAAGGGTGAGGAAGCTTCCAGATGCAGGCAAGTCCCCCCTCAGCACCCCTGGAGGGAGAGCCACCCTCCTCCCCCGCCCCATCTGCACCTGCTTCTGTGTAGCCCACACCTATACCCCAGGGCCCTGACACCTCCTTCCTGCGCAGGACACAGGTTCTGGAAAGTAGCCTGCTCGGCCACGCAGCCCCAGTGCCCTCCACCTCCTGCTTGATTTTTGAAATGGAAATCATATTTTTGATTTTATTCTTAAACAGTGTTTTGTTTGCTTTGGGGTCATACCTGGCAGTGCTCAGGGCTTACTCTATGTAGACTCTGAACTCAGGGATAAGTTCTGGTGGGTACCACATGTGGGCACATTTAAAAATTTTTTTAAATTTATTTTTTAAAATTAAATCATTGTTACAAAGTGGTTCGTGATTGGATTTCAGTCATATTATGTTCCAATACCAGCCCATTCACTAGTGTACATTTCTTACTACAAGTGTTCCCAGTCTCCCTCCCACATTTCCCCCATCCTGACTCTATGACAGGCACCTCTCTCTCTCTCTCTCTGTCTCTCTCTCTCTCTCTCTCTCTCTCTCTCTCTCCCCCTCCCTCCCCTTTTGGGCATTATGGCTGGCAATACATATACTGAAAGGTTATCAAGTCTATCCTTTTACCTACTTTCAACACTCAGTTTTTGTCCAGAGTGATCATTTCCAACTATTATTGTCATGCTGGTCCATTCTTTACCTAATTGGTAGCATATTTGAAAATTTTCTAAAGTAACAAACTTTGTTAAAAAAAAAAACTGTGGGTGTGGATGTGGATGTGTATATGTACATGTGGAGGTTTAGATAGATAGATACTTCAGTGTATATCGTGGCATCATTTTATTTTGCTATTTTTTCGGGCAGGTAGATTAGCTTAAATTAATTTTTATTACATTAGTTTATCATGGTTATAATAGTGTTTAATTTTGTTTGGGAGTCAAAATTGGCAGTGCTCAGGGCTTACTCATGACTATGCTTAGAAATTACTCCCGTGGAGGGGTCAAATCTGGGTCAGCACCTGTAAGCACCTCATTCACTGTACTGTCTCTCCAGCCCTTAATATTTATCATTTTTGGGGGTTTTTTTGGGGGGGAGGTCACGCCCGGCAATACTCAGCGGGTTACTCCTGGCTCTGCACTCAGGAATTACTCCTGGCAGTGCTCGGGGAACCATGTGGGATGCTGAGGATCGAATCACAATCAGCCACATGCAAGGCAAACGCCCTCCCCGCTGTACTATTGCTCCGGCCCTGATGTTTAGATTTTTGTTTTCTTTTTGGGTCATACCCAGTGATGCACAGGGGTTACTTCTGCGCTCAGGAATTACTCCTTGTGGTGCTTGGGGGACCACGTGGGATGCCGGGGATTGAACCTGGGTTGGCTGCATGCAAGGCAAACGCCCTACCCGCTGTACTACAGCTCCGGTCCCTGTTTATAATTTTAATGTAACAAGTTCCCGCACCTTCGCCACCACAAAGTGCCTGGGACCCTCCATCGCTGTTCTTAGGTCACCTTGGCCCACCTTTCCATTTCCCCCTGTTTAGTATTTTTTTTCTTTTTTTTGTAGGAGTACTGCTATTTATTCAGCCACTGATTAGCTGATTGAATTGTGCATGAACTCCACCTTACTTTTTTTTCTTTTTCCATTTTTTATGATTTTATTTATTGAATCACCGTGAGAGCAGTTACAAAGCTTTTGGGTCTAAGCCTCAGTCATACAATGAAACACCCGTACCTTCACCAGTGCCCAGTCTCCACCACCAAAAATCCCAGTATACCCCCATCCCACACCCTCCCCCTGCCTGTGGGGCAGATGAGTTCTACATTACTCTCTCTCTACTTTGATCACATTCACTATTTTGACACCAGACCCACCATTATTTAAGATTTTACCCCAACACTCAGATCTGCTGAAAAGGCAACAATAGACAATTTGTGTTCTATTGCTGTTTATGAATAACATATGATGTCGTGTGGCTGCAGTAGGGCCATGTGGTTTTGAAGTTCTGAAATTTTAACACTTAAATCTGGAGGGATTTCTGCCAAAAGCCACTGGGTTTAGAGATCTGCTCCTGAGTCTCTGGGATCAAGGCCGTTGAGCAGCTTGATGAGGAGCCAGAGAGGCCGTTTGTGGGCGATGACTTGGGGTCTCATTAGGGTGGGGAGGACAGGCCGGCTCCACCTCCCCCCCCATCCCGTGAGACCCAACAAGTTTCGTCACTGTGGGTCCAAGCCTGACTGTCCAATGGCCTCTGGAGGATGACAGCCACCAAGTCGCCAAGAGGGAGCAGGTGGAGGGACAGCACCCATTCCCCCCTGGGGTGGCCCGGCGACTGTGGAGTCCGGATGCATTTCTGCCAAAAGCCACTGTGTTTTGAGATTTGTTTCTGAGGCTCTGGGATCATGGCCGTTAAGCAGCTTGATCAGGAGCCAGAGAAACCATTCGTGGGCAATGACTTGGGGTCTCGTTGGGGTGGGGAGGACAAGCCCGGCTCCACCCTCATCCCGTGAGGCCCTGTGTGTCTCGTCACTGGGGGCCCAAATGTGACTATCCAGTGGCCTCAGACGGATGGCGGCCACTGGGCCGCCAGGGGGAGTAGGCCAAGGCACGAAACCTATTCCCACCTGGGTTGGCCCAGCACCGGTAGCCTACTGCAGAGACCAGACGCATTTCTACCTAAAGCCACTGGGTTCTGAGATTCGTTTCTGAGTCTCTGGGATCATGTCCATTAAGCAGTTCAATCAGGAACCAAAGAGGCCTTGCCTCCAATTATATAGCTGAGCCGGAGGTGGTTTGTGGGTGTGTCTCCCACATACCTAACTTTTGGCCGTTTACTTTCTTGGTAAACTTTGCCCCAAGTTTTTGGGATCTGGCCAAAGGCACAGCAGCAATTTTGGGGTATCTGGAAGTCTGAAGGCGCCATGAGGCTGCTGATGCACTCGCCTCACAGGTACAGATTGACCTGCTGGCGGCACCATACCCCCTCCCTGTTTGGTATATTGTCAAATCCAAGAGTGTGCTCTCATTCGACACTTTCTACTCCCTGGTTTTGTCTCTGTACCACAGATGAGTAAGATCATCTGGGTTTTGCTCTGCTCTCTCTGACCTGTTTCACTTAATATGACACCCTCCGGATCCATCCAACTTAAGGCAAACTGCAAAGTTTCAACTTTTCATGCAGCCACACAGTGTTCCATTGTGTATACATACCACAACTTCTTTGGGTGGAGGGGGAGGGCACACCCAGAAATGCTCAGGGGTTACTCCTGACTCTGTGCTCAGGAATTACTCCTTGCAGTGCTCAGAGGATGCTGGGAATCGAACCTGGGTTGGCCATATGCAAGGCAAGCACCCTACCTACTGTACTATTGCTTCAGCCCAGTACCACAATTTCTTTCTTTCTTTCTTTCTTTCTTTCTTTCTTTCTTTCTTTTTTTAAAGCTTTTTGGGTCACACCTGGCAGTGCTCAGGGGCTACTCCTGTCTCTGCATTCAGGAGTTACTCCTGGCAGTGCTCGGAGGACCATATGGGATGCTGGGAATCAAACCCAGGTCAGCTGCGTGCAAGGCAAACGCCATACCTGCTGTGCTTTGCTCAGCCCCAGTACCACAATTTCTTGATCCTTTTGTCTGTCAATAGACTTTTAGGTAGTTTTCCCATCCAGACTTAGCGCTGCATTGAACATAAGTGTACATACATCTTTTGGTGTTTTCATGTTCTTGGGGTAGATGCGGCATCATTTTATTTATTTATTTATTGCTTTTGGGGGGGGGGTCACACCTGGTGATGCACAGGGTTTACTCCTGGCTCTGCACTCAGTAATTACCCCTGGCGGTGCTCAGGGGACCATATGGGATGCTGGGAATCAAACCCGGGTTGGCCGCATGCAAGGCAAACGCCCTACCCGCTGTGCTATTGCTCCAGCCCGATGCAGCATCATTTTAATGAGTACTTATATCTCACAGACTATTTTTAACTGTCCCTAGTATTGGATTTGTAGCTTGTTATTTTCTCTTGTTTTCAGGGGGTGGGAATCAAGCACCAGGAAGCCTTGGGACCCCATCAGTGATTCTTGGCCCACTAGGCTGGTGGTTCAGTGCAGGTGACTGACAACGTTGCTGAGGCCCTGGTTACTGGGCAATTCCCGTAGCGATGCTGGGGGCATCTTCTCTCTTCCTGAAGAATACTCACTGGCAATCCTTGTTCCCCATCTCAGAGCTCTGTTACCTTCATGGAACACTGGGTGAGCACCCTTTCTTCATGGAGACACCCACGTCCCTCCTACCTTACGGTCCCATCACCTCCAGACCCTTGGGGAGCCCTGCTTTCATCCCAAACATGGGCAAAGGGATCCAGAGACCACCCACCCACTTGAGGATAGGAGTTGCAAAGGACTATGGGAAATGTAGTCTCGCCGTGTGTCCTAGAAGGAAAAGAAACCCATTATGAGCTCGCAGCAGCTTCCACCATTTTAACTCCCTCCCCCAGAAAGTCGGCCCTGCCCTGCCTCCCATTTCCTCTGCTCCAGCAGCCCAGGGACAAAGTGTATCCTGCCTTTTATTACCTGCCGCGGTGCGATCCATCTGTCCCACCACCAGGGGCTCAGTGGTCTAAGCTCTGTGTCCCAGTTGTCACGAACCCCATTGCAGCCTGTCAGGAAACACCTATGGAAGGGCTCCACTAAAAACTCACTCTGGGGGCTGGAAGGACAGTCCAGCGGGGAAGGCACTTGTCTTGCATGCAGCTGACCCAGGTTCGATCCCCAACATCCCATATGGTCCCCTGAGTACAGAGTTGAGAGTAATTCCTGAGCACTATGAGGTATGGCCTCAAATGAAAAAAAAAAAAGAAGAAGAAAATGAAAACAAGAACAGCTCATTCGGGTCCTCAGAAGTTGTTCCCTGCCTGTGGCTAGGTGAGGAGGGAAGAGGGGAGGAAGCAGGTTAAGTGCAGACGGTGCTCCGGATGCCCCTAACTGGGTCCTTTCCTCCGTAGCTGTGTGTGAGATTCTCAGCCACGTTCTGTGTGTCCTGGGTTTGTTTCAGGAGCATGCCCCGCTGTTACCACTGAAAACTCTCTTTAGCGGGAAGAGTGTTGCTAGAGATGATGTCGCTGGGACGAGCCTCCCAGGCCCCCAAAACACCACTCGGGACGTCCCCCAATTTATGCTATCAGTGGTGCTAGGCTATATACAGGTGTACGGAAAATTCTCAACAATACACTGTCGGGTCCGGAGTCCACACTCATAAACTGCTGCTCTCCTGCCCCACCTGCCAGCCATGCCGCCTAGGATAGAAATCCCCACCCTGGGCTGGATCCCATCCAGCTCTCAGAGAGCTCAGGTTGTTCTGGGATCCTGTAAGCATTGGTATTTCCTGTGCATGTGCACGCAAGCATGTGGGGGGGGGGGGGGGTCGGGTGAAAGTCTGTCTCCAGGTGGGCAGAAAGTGGGGTGAAAGGACTCTCAGTCAGGGGGTGCCGGTAGTTACTCAACCCATGAAAGGGCTTGCTGAGGGGAGGGAAGGATCCCGGCCACAAGTGAGTCCCCAGTGCTTCGAGCCTGGCCAGGGTGGCAGCTCTGGGCATCTGTGCTGAAGGAAGGATGGGCACTCTTTTAGACATCCTTAGCCTGCGGGCAAGGCTGGCAGAAGCTGCAGAGAGTACTAGGGCCTGGGCTAAGCCTGACAGCCCCTGGGGGCTGGCCCTCGGGCCCCTTGAAGTGCCTTTCCCTGCTACATCCCGACCAGGACAGGCAACTGCTTAGCCTGTGTGCCCGCTGCCACCCCCCTCCCCTGGGCAGAAGGAGCTGAGGTAAAATCAGCAAATTCTGCCCCCCAAACACCCCCCACCCTGTTCCCCCACACAGCTTGGGGCTCCCCTTCCAGGGAACCTCCCCTGCCCCCCGAGATTGCTCCCCGACACCCCACCATCCCCCTCTCTGATTCCAGACAAACCTTGGTCCCCCATCATGACTCATCAGCATCCACGAGCTCTGGAGTTGGGCAAGACCGAGTGAGGACTCGGGTCCTGGTGGTCCATGCTGGCTGTGTGACGTTGGGCTGGTGAGTCACCCTCTCCGAGCCTTGGTTTCTGCACCAGAAGGAAGAGTGGGCTCATCTCAGGAGGGCAGTGGGCAGACTTCCGTGAGGTCAGACTGGAAGCAGCTGGACCTCTGGGACCACCACCCCCCCGCCGCCCCCAGCCTCCCTCCTTTCTCCCTGGAGATGCACAGGCCTCCCCACCTGGCCTGCCTCCCTGTGCCCAGACCTGTCCAGGGCTCTCTGCAGGGCTCTGCGGCTGCTTCTGTCCTTGCCCAAGGACACCCGGGATCTTGTGAGCCCTGGGGTAAAGGAGCTGCCTGGCCCTGGTGGCACCTGCAGAGAGCAGGGCCCTGCCACCTGCTATCCCGGGGAGGGGACTTATGCATATTCACACCCGCTGGAGCGTGAGAGAGCCCGCCACTGGCACGGGGTGTCATTGGAGCACTCCGGTTTCCTGGAGACGGCAGAGACAGCCTGGAGCCCAGCCGGCCTCAGGCCGGGAGGGAGACAGACGCGAGGGGCGGCCTAGGTGAGTGTCTACCTCCGCCCCTGCACGGGGTCCCCAGAGGAGCAGGCCACGCTGGGTCACGGGGACAGGAGCCAGGGGATGAGTCCCATTCCTCCTTCAGCTGGAAGGTGCTGGCCTGTCCACTGGGAAGGCACCTGGGCTTGGCCCAGTGCCAGCTGTCTGCACAGCTGGAGGGGCATGGGGCCGGGGTCACCCAGAAGCCAGGGTCTGGGCTGCGGAGGAGGGATGGTCTGTTTGGAGAGGGACAGTCTGGGACTGTCCCCTGGATTCTCGGGAGAATCTGCTTCTGTGGTGCTGGGTGACCTTGAGAGCTGCCAGCCTCGGCCTGAGGAGCCTTCTGGCTCCGGTGTGGTCACATCATTCTCGGTCCCCCTGGCCTGCATCTCAGCTGCTTTTTTTTTCTGCTTTCTGTGCCACACCCCTTACTCCTGGCTCTGCACTCAGGAATTACTCTTGGTGCTCGGGGGACCATATGATTGCAGAGACTGAACCCCAAGCGACCTGCTGTACTATCACTCTGGCCCTCAACTGTCTCTTCACCCCCACTGTGGGTTGGCCACAACCAGCGCCCTGGAGGCAATAGTGAGAGGAACAGTGGGGTGAGCCTAGTTCGGTGTCTGTCCTGTGTGTCAGCCGCATTCGGGGACAGGCTGCGGGGGGGGGGGGGACATACAGGCTGTGCAGGAGAGTCACAGTCATCCTTTTGGAGGGAATGTTGAGGCTCCGTTTCATGGCAAGGGAGTGGAACCCAAGGACCAGCCCATGGTGCTGGCACCAAGAAGCCTTCCCATGGGCGGATGTACCACGGTCACTGGAAGCTATCAAACATTCACCAGGTGCCAGGTTTGGGAGCTGCAAGATGAGTCACGGCAGGTTGGTCCTCCCTGGGCACGGAGAAGCCGCACCTCAAGTGCCTGAGCCCTGACAAAGGCCGTCACAGAAGCGAGTCGGTGACGACCACCACATGGGATGTGTGTTCTCGCCTTCAGATTTCCTTGCCTCACGACTGTTGTCCCCTAGCCAGGCTGCCTGTCTCCTGGCCCTGGACCTCCGTTGCCCTGGGTGCCAAGGCTTTGTCTGTCCTGATCTTGCAGAGTGTGTCCGTCCACTGTATCCAGAGGAAACAGACTCGGGGGAGAGCAAGTGGCCCATCGTGGCCACAGCTCAGCCCTAGGGTCAAGCGAATGCTGGGTGTGCGTGGGACCTGGCAAGCCCCGGGACAGCACCACAAACCGAGCTAAGCACAGAGGCCAGGCAAGACAGAACCACCGGCCTTCGAGGCCTTCTTGGGCCCACACGGCCGGACCGATCCCAGGACCCACTGGGTCGGTCACCCACGGGCCCAGTCACCGTTTTCCTCAGCCTCTGTGATGGGTTTTGGGGCAGGGCTCAGGGGCTGTCACGGGCAAGTACTGGATCCTGGCCATGACCCTGCGCAAAAAGTCCTGCTCTGTCCCTGAGCCTCAGTTTTCCCATCTGCAAACTGGGAGCGGTGACAGGAGAGCTGGAGCGAGTCGGGGAGATGTTCTGGAGAAGCCCCTCCAGGGTCTGCTTGGGGTTGGGGGTCCGGAGAGAATGCAGAGGGAGGGAGGGCCCAGATCAGGCCCACTTCCTGTTTCTAGAAGCTTCCTGAGTGGGAGAATGGAGGGAGGGGGGGGCGGGGGGAGCCTGATTGGTGGTTCTGGGGCGCTGCTCTGCCCCCTGCTGCCTGGCCTCCACCCTGCAGTCGGGAGCTGCCTCAGCGTCTGGAGTTGCTGGAGGGTCTCTGGTGAGTGGGCTGGTGTGGGGGGAGGGGGGCAGAGAACAGGCAGCAAAGCCCCTCCCATGTTACGGTCAGGGAAACTGAGGCCCAGCACCCTTTTTGGGCTCTGTGGCAGCCCCTGACCCCTGGGAGCCGAACGCCTGAGGGGCTCTGGAGGCTGCAGGAGGCTTTGGGCTGGGCAGAGCAGCGGCTCCTGGTTCTGGGGGTGGCAGAGAGACGCCTTCTGGGGCCCCAGGGCAGAGGTGGGGGCTGCCGCCTTTTCCGGCCTCCCCACCTCACAGACAGGAAACTGGGGTCCAGATTTACAGTGCTGGGTTGAAACGCAGGCTTGGGGGTTTGAGAGCCTGCTGTTCCCCCTTCTTTCCCGGAACCCCCCGGGCCTGGCTGGCTTTATGGTCTGAGATCGAAAGGGCATTTTATGCCTTTTTCTGACTCTAGTAAGTCTTAGTTATTGGACTGGGTTAGGTTGGGTTGGGTTGGTTTGGGTCTGGGCCATACCTAGTGCACAGGGGACTTCCTGGCTCTCTACTCAGGACTGACCCCTAGAGGTGCTTGGTGGCCAATGCAGTGCTCGGGTTCAAGTTCAGGTGGGCTGCATGTACGGCTCTGACTTCCTATCTCTCTGCCCCCCACCCCACAATTTTTAAAATGTATAATATAGGGACCCGAGAGATAGCACAGGGTTTAAATCGCTTGCCTTGCACACATCTGGCCCTGGTTCGATCCCCTGTACCCCATCTGATCCCCTGAGCCCACCAGGAGTAAGCCCTGAGCACAGCTGGGAATGGCAAAAAAAAAAAAAAAAAAAAAAAGAGCATAATATGGGAAAATAGGGACTGGGGTTATGACTTGAAGGGGTAGAGTACGAATCTGGCATTGTGAGTTCCCAAGTTCGATCTGCCCCCTGCCCCTCAGGCTCCCCTGGGTGTAGACTCCTGAGCACAGTAGGGCCTGAGCACTGTGGCACCAGGCTGAGTATGGTTGGGAGGCCCCTGTCCCAGCCAACTTTGGGCATGGCCCCTGTATTGAATCACGTATGGGGAAACAGTTCCTTACCTATTCCTCCTGTGTTCGCCCCACCTGTCGCTGCTAAAATTTAGAATTTCATTTGTCCCATTTTATTTTTCTCTGCCTCGGCTGGAGTGATAGCACAGCGGTAGGGCATTTGCTTTGCATGTGGCCGGCCCGGTTGACCTAGGTTTGATTCCTCTGCCCCTCTCGAGAGCCCGGCAAGCTACCGAGAGTATCCTGCCTGCATGGCAAAGCCTGGCAAGCTCCCCGTGACGTACTCGATATGCCAAACACAGTAACAAGTCTCACGATGGAGACGTTACTGGGCCTGCTTGAGCAAATTGATGAACAACAGGAGGACAGTGCTGCAGTGTATTTTTCTCTATTTACCTATATACCTATATAGATTGGAAGTGGGGGAAGGGGGCAAGGTGTTCTGGAACTTTTGTTGTTGTTGTTGTTGTTGTTTTGGGCCATACCCAACAATGCACAGGGGTTACTCCTGGCTTCGCACTCAGGAATAACTCCTGACAGTGCTCAGGGGACCATATGGAATGCCGGGGATTGAACCCTGGTTGGCCATATACAAGGCAAATGCCCTTCCCTCTGTATTATCGCTCTGGCCTCTGGAACTTCTTTTTCACATAAATAGGGACACCTTTGAGGCAGCTCACTCAGTTCATGTGTATGTGTGTGTGCATGGGTGTGCACGCACACACGCTTGTGTACTTGTTTTACTTGTTTTTGGTTTTGGGTTACACCCAGTAGCGTTCAGGGATTACTCCTGGCTCTGTGCTTAGGCGTAATTCCCTGTGGTGCTTTAGGGACCATTTGCGATGCCGGGGACTGAATGAGGGTTGGCCGCATGCCAAGCAAGTGTCATGGCTGCTTGACTCCCTCCAGCCCCACCTAGTTATTGATTCCTGGGGACAGTTGACTGCATGCTGGGTGGCTGGGTGAATACCTCAGTTTGTGTAAGGATTCCCCAGGAGAACTTCTCAAACTTTTTTTTTTAAACAATTTTTTTTCTTTTTGGGTCACGCCCAGCGATGCTCAGGGGTTATTCCTGGCTTTGCACTCAGGAATTACTCCTGGCGGTGCTTGGGGGACCATATGGGATGCTGGGGATCGAACCCAGATCGGCCACGTGCAAGGCAAAAGCCCTACCTGCTATGCTATTGCTCTGGCCCCTCAACAATTTTTTTAAATTGACTGAGATTCTGTCATTTACAATACACATCAATAATGGTTTCTCAACCTAAATAACATACACCCGCCACCAGTGGGCCCGTCTCCCTTTCCCACGGACCCCAGCACCCCTCCCTCTCAGACCCCCACCCCAGCTCCATTGTGTGGGTCAGTTTTCCCATTCTGTCGCCTTTGGCCCTTGGCTGTGCATCCTTCAGCTGGTCAAGCTGCTGAAACTGGGCACCTGGGTGTCCGGAGTTGGCAGGAATAGCTGCTCTGTTGTCCCGACTCACCTGAAAATGGACAGAGACAGGTCACTGGGGAGGCCTGAGATCCGAGGTATTTCCTGCCTCCTGTCCTCCCTTTTCCTGCAAGGAGGCACAGCTAGACTAGGCGCTGAGACTCCAGGGTCTGGAGCCAGGGGAGCTGGGGTGCGGGTGGGGGCTGGGTTTAGACTAGGAGCTGAGACCCCACGGCCTGGAGCCAGGGAGCTGGAGGCACCTGGGACGACCCTTCTCTGGAAAAGGCTTGTGGGCACTTTCCAGGGCCAGGATGTGGGGTCCTCCCCCAGTGACTGACTGGTCTCGGGCCCCAGGGACCCCCATAGAGATGTGCCATCTCAGCACTCCTCACACGGGTGGCCACACAGGCCCATGCCCTGGCAACCCGAGTCGGAGCAGGAGTAGAAAGTCTTGCTCCCTCCACTGTGGCTCAGGCATGGTGGGAAGACCCCAACCCTAGTTTCCTCTGGGCTCCCGGACTGTTTGAGTAGCACCCCCGCCATGACAGTGCTTGTCCCTTGCCTATAAGGTTGTTATAAGTAGACCAAAAGAGTTGTGACTCCCCCACAAATCAGGAAATCCACTTACATTTGATTTTTAATTTATTTTTTGGCTGTGAAGGGTGGGGTGGGGTCACACATGGTGATGCTAAGGGTTGACTCCTGGCTCTGCACTCAGGAATTACTCCTGATCATGCTCAGGGCACCAGATGGGATGCCAGGGATCGAACCTGGGTCGGTTGGCTGCATGCAAGGTGAATGCCCTCCCCACTGTACTACTGCTTGGAGTGCGCTTTTTTTTTTTTTTTTGCTTTTTGGGTCACACCCGGTGATGCACAGGGGTTCCTCCTGGCTCTGCACTCAGGAGTTACTCCTGGCGGTGCTCAGGGGACCATATGGGGTGCTGGGAATCGAACCTGGGTCGGCCGCGTGCAAGGCAAATGCCCTACCCGCTGTGCTCTCTCTCCTTGGAGTGCTTTTTAGTGTAAGAACATTCCACGTATTCTTTGGTTGTTTTGTCTGTTTTGCAGCCATACCCAGCAGTACTCTGGGCTGGCTTCTGGCTCTGCACCAGGTATCATGTCTGGGGGGCTCTGGGGACCATATGTGGTGACGGGAATCAAACCTGAGTCAGCCACGTGCAAGATAAGTGCCCCTCCCCCGCCACACACACACTGGCCCCCCTTACCTACCCATGCACTATTCGGGACAGACTTGTGCCTTTAAAATCTTCTTTTTTTTTGGTTTTGGACCTCATCCTACAGTGCTCTGGGATCTCTCCTGGCAGGGCACATGGGTCCATATGTGGCACATGGTCTCCTGAGCACTGCCAGAAGTGATTGCAGAGCACCAAGCTAAGATTAGCCCCCAGCACTGCTGGTGTGGCCCAGAACCCTAGAAGAAAATGTGATTTTTACTAATGAGAACCCCTGAACCCACCACCCGGCATAAAGTGAAACAACCAGAGTCTTCTCACTGCCCACTGCCCGCTCTGGGCATCTGCCCACTGTTTCTGCGACCCTGTCCTTGGGCTTCCTCTGCCCTCCCTCTCTCCCTCCCTCCTTCCTCCCTTCCTTTCCTTCTCCTTTCCTTCCCGACCTCCTTCCTCCCTTCCCTGCTTCCTTTCTTCCCTCCTTCCTTTCTTTCCTTCCTTGCTCTCCCCCTTCCTTCTTTCCTCCCTCCTTCCCTCCTTCCTTCCCTCCTCCTCTATCCTTCTTCCCTTCCTTCCTTTCTCCCTTTTCTTCCTCCCTTCATTCTGTCCTCACTCTCTCCTTCCTTCTTTTTTCTCTTTTCTTCTTCCCTCCTCCCTCCCTCTTTTTTTCCTCCCCTCTATTTTCTTTCTTTCCTATCTTTCTCTTTCTTTCCTTCTCTCCTTTTTCCTCCACACCCTGTGGTGCTTCAGGGCTTACTCCTGGCTGTGCTCTCAGGAATCACTCCTGGAAGTGCTCGGGGGGCCATGCAGTGCTGGGCATCACACCTGGGCCTCCTGAATGTCACACATGAGCTCAGGCCTTTGACCTATCTCAACGACGACAACAAAGGTGCTAGGGGTTGAACCCAGGTGTGCCACATGCCAGGCAGGCACCTTGCCCTCTGCATGATCTTTTTCCCTCTTCCCCACCCTTGACTGGGCTCAATAGGGCACATTCCTGTTTGTCGAGCTTGCCGGGAGTCACGCGCATTTAGTGTGGTACTCAGACATACTGCCAATGGTACTATTCACCAGAAGAGGCATCCTGCTCAGAAAATCTGCTAATAAAAATAAAATAAAATAATAAATAAGTAAATAAAATAATAACACATTTAAAAATAAAATAAAAATTAAAAATAAAGTTAAAAATAAAAAGAAGAGAAATTAAAAATAAATAAATAAATTAATTAATTAAAAGGGCTGGAGTGATAGAACAGCACGTAGGACGTTTGTCTTGCACATGGCCGACCCGGGTTCGATTCCCAGCATCCCGTATGGTCCCCTGAGCACCACCAGGAGTAATTCCTGAATTGCAGAGTCAGGAGTAACCCCTGTGCATCACTGGGCGTGACCTGAAAATCTGTGGCAGTGCTCCTGGGTGATTGCACGCTTCAGCCGTGGTGCTCCATACTCCTGACTGAGCACCAGAGAGCACACCCTCTGTCGCAGTACCAAGGTCCCAGATGGCAGAGCCTCTGGGACTGCACGTTGCACATGTGGGAGGCACCGGGGATCGAACTCTAGACCTTAGACTCGCAAGGTAGTACTTTGGACCATGGAGCGGTCCCTGCACTCCTTTGTTTCTCTCACCCTGTGTGTGTCCCTCTCCCTGAATGGGGCACTGCTCGAGGGCCATAGAGCTGGTGCAGGCTCATCAAAGGCTGTCACCAGTCCCGTGGGGTCTGGGACTTGCTCTGTGCCCCACAGGTGTCTGAGATGCCGCTGCAGAAGAAGCTCTGGCAGTCCATGGCCAAAGGGTTGGTGCTGGGCGCGCTCTTCACCACCTTCCTGCTGCTGCTCTACTCGTACGCGGTGCCCCCGATGCATGCCAGCCCTGCCTCCACGTGAGTGGCCCAGCTGGGCAGGCTGCCCATGTTCCCCCCCCCCCCCAGCCTCCCCTCACCCCCATGATTTTGGCTGCCTCCCGGGTCACCCCTGTGCCCTGCATCATAGGTTAATGATTCCACCGAGGGCAGAACTCCCTACGTCAGCCTGGGCCTCGGTGTCCTCGTCTGTGAAATGGGCACCATCCCCGAGGGGGCCTTGGGAGCCTCAGAGGCCTGGGTTCAGCTGATCCTCTGAAGCTCAGGCTGGGCTGTGCGTGGTGAGGGGGGCGGTGTCCAACCACACGCGCTGCGCCCCCTCCAGCCAGGGGCGGCTCAGCTTGGCTGGCACCACCTAGGCTCTGAACCGGTGCAATTTGGCTAAATTTGAGGCAAGTTGATGGCGACTTACCCCTCGTGGTCTAGAAAAATCCGGGCGATCCACGATAAACTGGGGATGGCCACAGAGCCCAGAGTCTCGCACTACCAAGGGAGGGGCACTGCCCTTCCCCCCCAGCCCCCACCTCCACCCACGTCCCAGATTCGGAAGGTTGCAGCCTGGCCCCTGGCGCACGTGCTCTCCCTAGAGACCCCCACCCAAAGGCCAAGGGTTCTGGGTTCGGGTCCCCTGGCAGCCCCTGAGCCTCCCCCTCCCCCGCAACTCCCCGCAGGACCCCGGAGGGCGCCGCGTCCTGCTCCCCCGCCCCGGCGGAGCCCCAGCCGGGCCCGCCGGCCGCCAACGGCTCGTCCCGGGGCTGCCAGCCGCGGCGCGACATCGTGTTCATGAAGACGCACAAGACGGCCAGCAGCACCCTCCTCAACATCCTCTTCCGCTTCGGCCAGAAGCACGGGCTCAAGTTCGCCTTCCCCAACGGGCGCAACGACTTCGACTACCCGGCCTTCTTCGCGCGCAGCCTGGTGCAGGACTACCGGCCCGGCGCCTGCTTCAACATCATCTGCAACCACATGCGCTTCCACTACGACGAGGTGCGCGGGCTGGTGCCGCCCGGCGCCGCCTTCATCACGGTGCTCCGCGACCCCGCGCGCCTCTTCGAGTCCTCCTTCCACTACTTCGGCTCCGTGGTGCCCTTCACCTGGAAGCTGGCGGGCGGCGACAAGCTGGCCGCCTTCCTGCAGGCGCCCGAGCGCTACTACGACCCCGCCGGCTACAACGCGCACTACCTCCGCAACCTGCTCTTCTTCGACCTGGGCTACGACAGCGACCTGGACCCGGGCAGCCCGCGCGTGCAGGAGCACATCCTGGAGGTGGAGCGCCGCTTCCACCTGGTGCTGCTGCAGGAGTACTTCGACGAGTCGCTGGTGCTGCTCAAGGAGCTGCTGTGCTGGGAGCTGGAGGACGTGCTGTACTTCAAGCTCAACGCGCGCCGCGCCTCGGCCGTGCCGCGCCTGTCGGGCGAGCTGTACCGCCGCGCCACGGCCTGGAACCAGCTCGACGCGCGCCTCTACCGCCACTTCAACGCCAGCTTCTGGCGCCGCGTGGACGCCTTCGGCCGCGCGCGCATGGCCCGCGAGGTGGCCGCGCTGCGGCGCGCCAACGAGCGCATGCGCCGCATCTGCATCGCCGGCGGCCGCGCCGTGGACGCCGAGGCCATCGAGGACGCGGCCATGCAGCCCTGGCAGCCCCTGGGCGCCAAGTCCATCCTGGGCTACAACCTCAAGAAGCGCATCGGCGGGCGGCACGCGCAGCTCTGCCGCCGCATGCTCACGCCCGAGATCCAGTACCTGATGGACCTGGGCGTCAACCTCTGGGTCACGCGCCTCTGGAAGCTGGTCCGCGACTTCCTGCGGTGGTGACCGGCCGCCCGGCCGCCCCTCCGCCCCCACCGCGCCGCGCCCCGCCCCGCCTGCTCTCCGGCCTCCCGCCAGGGACCCCCGGGCTTCCCCGAGCCCCTCCTGGTGCTACCCCGTCCCCCCGGGGTGAGGGGGTTGCCTGGGGGATGCGGCCGGCCAGGACTGGACCCACTCTCCCACTCCCTCCGCGCACGGGGCCCACGATCAGTATTTGACTAATTGAACTTGTCCTGGTTTTAAATTAAATCCCCTGCCCTCCCCCCTCCCCAACAGAATGTTCTAGTTCTCCTCTCCCCTCGAGGGGGAGACGGTGGAAGTAAAGGAATTGATGTGCTTTTGTTAATCCGCCTCAGTGCTGGGTGACTGATGGTGCGAGTGGGGGGTGGGCGGTTTGATGACAGACCCGGGGCACAGAGAAGCCAGATGGGCAGTGTGCCGGGCTGAGACTGTCAGCCGGGGCAGGGCGCTGGGCTGTGTTTCTCTCATATGCTGACCTCCTGGGATAGTTTGTTTGTTTGTTTGGCCACATCTGGCAGAGTTTAGGGCTTACTCTCGGCTCTGAGCTCAGGGATCACTTCTGACAGCTCAGAGGATTATACAGGGTGCCGGGAATCGAATCTGGGTCGGCCCTGTATAGGCAAGTACCCTGTACTGGCTCTCCAGCCCCAGTCCTACGATGTTGAAGGGTTCTGTGGGCTTGTAAGAGCTGGAAGATTGTGTGTGTGTGTGTGTGTGTGTGTGTGTGTGTGTGTGTGTGTGTGTGTGTGTGACACAGAGAAACAGACAGACAGACACAGAGAGATAAAACAGAAATAGGGACTGGAGAGCTAGTACAGTGGGAGGGCGCTTGCCTTGCATGTGGCCAACATCCCACCTGGCCCCCTGAGCACCACCAGGAATGGTTCTTGAGGGCAGAGCCAGGACTAACCTCTTGAGCATCACTGGGTGTGACTAAAAAACAAAAACAAGGGGCTGGACGCAGCCTGACCCAGGTTCGATTCCCAGCATCCCATATGGTCCCCTGAGCACGGCCAGGAGTAATTCCTGAGTGCAGAGCCAGGAGTAACGCCTGTGCATCGCTGGGTGTGACCCAAAAAGCAAAACAACAACAACAACAACATATCCCCCATCTCTACTCTGGCATTCGCTTTAATCCCAATGGGCTGGGGTGCCCCCAGATCCTGCAGCCCACCAAGGGGGGTCAGTGCAAGAACACAAACATGTCAGCAGAGAAAGTTAGGTCTCCCCAGGGTCATTTTCCAGCGGTATTTCCAAAAATAGAGAATGACAGAGGGAGTTAGAGAGAGAGAGATAAATACAAAAAAGAGAGCAAGAACTGGACGCAGAGTGATATACACAGAGATAAAAGAAAGAGAGACACAGAGACAGAGCAAGAGACAATGAGATGGTGGGTAGGGAGGCTGGTGGGTTTTGCCCAGAGATCTTGGAGATGGATTGCTGGTGCCACCTCTCCAACTCGTCATAACTCTTCGAGTCTGGAACAAGTTCTGATGAACTGTGAAAGAAAGTGACATGCCCAAGGTCACACGGTAGGCCAGAGCCGTCCCACAACTAAACTGCCTCCAGGGGCCCCCAAGCCCCTGCCACCTCCAGTGCCTGCCTGTCACCCCATACTCTCCTACCTCCCCCACTGCTGGTCACCCTAGCCGCTCACTGTCTGCAGGCACATGCACCCCACCTCCACCCTGGCATTTGTGTTAAGCCCAGTGGGCTGAGGTGCCCCCGGATCCTGCAACCCATCGAAAGGGATTTATGGAAGAACACAAGTAGGTTAGATCTCCCCAGGGGTCATTCCAGTGGTATTTTCAATCGCTAACCTCTTGAAGCATCTGCAGTGCCCATCAGTTGGTGCTTGGACAAAAGTGTGGTGTCAGACCAAGGGTAGAGGGGGGCTCCCCGACCTTGCAATCTGAGACCCTAGATCCGATCTCTGGCACCAACCAGAGAAACTTACACAAAGAAGATGGGTGCATTTAAACAACAAAATACTGCATGCTGCTTCTTTTTTTTTTCTTTTTATAAGATGAGGACTGGAGTTATCTCTCTTCACATTCAGGAGCCCTGGACTCAATCCTGGCTCTGCTTATGGTCCCCTGAGCACTGCTAAGTGTGGTTTTCCCCCTCTCACACACACACACATACCACACACACACATACACACACACAGACAATACTCCAGTAGCCTAATGAATAATGCATTAGCGTCCACTTCCAAAAAAGAGACATAAAAGAAGGAAAAAGACAAGTTTTTGGAATACTTTCACCTTTCTATGCAATGTAATGGTTTAAAATTGATGGACAGACAAAGTAAAAGAATAAACCATTGGACAGTAGCTACTAAATTAAGGTTATCTGAGGATATGGTGAGGAGATAAGGTAGGGAACAAGACAAATTATCTGGCATATACCGTGGGTGCTCTGCCTGGAGCTGGCCGCCAGCATACTGCAGTTAGTAAGTTAGTGGGGCCTTATTAGCACTCTTGGCCAGGGGAGCAGTTGGGGGCCCAGCAATCAAGGCCCACTGGGTGAAGCACAGGGTCCTTGGGTTTCCCAGCACCCTGCTGTGGAAGACACCAGCCCGGCCAGGGGGCTCTATCAAGGACCTGCTTCTGCCAGACTCGGAGCTACACGCTCATCGCCCCCACCCGAATTGCCTCAGCGTCCCAGCCTCACAGACCACACGCAGAGATGTCAGGGGCCACCCAAGGTCGCACCGATGATTAGCGCCCAAATCCTCCTGCCCTCTCCCTGAGTTTGACTCCTTTCTGCTCCTGCTTCTGGAGTGAGTTTCTTCCCAAACAGACTGGGAAGAGGTGAGGTGACCAACCATCCCTGTTTTCTGGAAGCAATCTGGGATGAGTGCTAGAATTCCACATGCCAGGAAAGTGCTCAGTACCCAGGGACCGGGTGGACACCACTGCATCCTACCTTACCTGTCGTCTGCATTCAGTAGCAAAAACTAAGCACAAAAATACAGCTTTGAGTGTCAGAGGGATAGTACAGCAGGAGGGCACTTGCCTTGCATGGGCTGTCCTGCATCCGATCCCCGGCACCACAACTGATTCCCCTGAGTCCTGCCAGGAGTAACCCCTGAGCACCACCAGGAGTGACTCCAAAAATATAACTGTATGACTTCATGTCCTTGGTGAGAATTAAGTAAATGTAAATAAATAGATGTAATGGATAATAACTGAGAGACTTCTCAGGAAAAGATATTACTGTGCCAAAATTCACGAGCAAATCTCGCCTCATTTACAAGCATCAAAGAGAGATGTGACTTAGTGTCATGTGAGAATATCCTGGATTTATGGAAACCTTAAGTGATAATTTTAGATCTCCCAAATGCCAATACTGTCCCTGTGTATTAATGATATATCGCTGTATAATATGATATATTATGACATGCATTATATATTTTATATTATATATACACATTGTATATTATCCCTGTATATTTTTGTGAAGTCAGGACTGTATTGACTTATTGGTTTTTTATTGGTACTTTGAGGTCCCTAGAAGTGTCAAGAGAGAGATCCCAGGAGGAAAAAAAAAACTAGTAGAAAGTAGATGCCAAGAATATATATCACACCATTAGTATATACTAGCTGCCTTGCTTGTTTTTAAAAGCATTATTGTTATTAATTCACAACGTAAGTAATAGTTTAATAACAAGTAGTTGCCAGGCCCTGAGCAATCACTCTGTGGTTGCATGTGGGATCATGCACAAATCTCTTTGCTGCCACAAGAAAACAATGGAGACCAGAGAGGGTGAGCAACCAACCCAGGGTCACACTGCAGTCAAGCTAGGTCTAGTACCCCTGACCTTGCAAAACTTCAGCTTCATTTCAGTTGGCTACTTCAGATTTAGGACTGAGGTCTCTTTTGGGGGACTGAGGGTGGATATGGATCCTCGCTTCCCCCCCCCCCCGGCCCCCCCCCCCCGTTTGTGCGTGGGCCTTGGGGATGCAGCAATGCTCATCAGATCCAGAGGTGCTGGGGACCACAGGACCCATCTGGCAGTGCTCCAGGGAGTGAGGTCATGGGGTGCTGGGGCTTGAACTCAGGGCTCCACATAGGCGCGGCATGCACTCCCGGCCTTGACGCGTCTCCTTGGCCCAGGACTCTGATCTCTTCCTATCAGAAAAACGCCTCGTCTCTCACGGGCTTGGAGTCGGCGGCAGTCAGCCCGGCCTCGCCGGCCCTGGGCAGCAGAGGGCGCTGTGGTGCTGAGCGTGATCTTGGCCAGGCTGCAGAGTCTGAGGCAGGCTCGGGGTTCCCATGGTGACCAGGCAGCTGCACCTGTGAAAGCCCAGGGTCTTCGGAGGATCCAGGGGCACCACCTGTTCTTCTCTGGTATGAGGTCGAACTGTGTCCCCTGGAACGATGCGTTGATGTCCTAAACCATCCCTGGGTAGTGGGACTTAGTTCCTGCGGTCCTGCTCAGAGGCCGCTCAGGCTGGGCCTTGAGCACTGGGCTGGTGTCCTTATAAATGGACATAGAAAACGCCTTGTGAAGACAAAACACCAAGGGACAGGGCCGAGGGCAGCCAGGCAGGGGCTGGCGGGTGCAGTGGCACGCAGAGGAGTGCCAGGCTCAGTGCCAGCCACAGCAACTGGGCAGAGAGGCAGGGAAGGGGTCTAGGCTGAGTCCAAGGGGAGCACAGCACCGCCGGCACTGCAATACTTGCGGATTCTGGCCCACAATGGACCACGTAGATGAGCGTGGCTCCCAGTCTCTACCAGATGCGTACGGAGCAGGCTGTCCCACCAAGATTTAGGTTTCACATAGCCCTGAAATGGCCCAAGGGAGCATTTCTCAGACCCTGTCCTACATGATGGCATCACTGTCTGTCTCTCTTATTTATTTCTCTTTTTTTGGCGGGGGTGGGGTGGGGTGGGGGAGTGGACAGGGCTACCATACCCGGCGATGCTCAAGAGTTCCTCCTGGCTCTGCACTCAGGAATCACTCCTGGGAGTGCCCA